TCCTAGCGGTTGTTAGTGTTGCAGCATGCAGGTAATGTATGAGAAATATGCTTTTGGCATCTCCATTGCACTGGCTGGTGCCATCTCACCCTCTCTTATTCTTTCTTCATTCACGAATTAGCATTGCTGAGTGAATAAAGGAAGAAAATATGCTAAAACATCTTTAGTATGTTCTTGTGTTGCTGTGAGTCATTAAAGTCTAGAATATTTGTTTAAAAGTTGCATTTGGTTAGACTACAATGTAAATCTTTACAGACTGTCACAATCACAGTCTTAAAAGAAAGCTGGCTGGCTGGGCTAGAAAAGCTAAGCTAAGGTAAGCTAAGTGCTAAGATAACATCAATTCACATATTTTGGTTGTTCTAGATTAAACACAGACATTTGAAGCCTGTAAAAGTCATACCATGTTTAATTTAAAATCCTGTTTGAATTATATTTCATTGGGCATTTCAAGAACATAAGTTGATTGCTTCTGACCAAAACTTACCAAAAAATGAGTATGGCAACAATACTTGCATAGTTTAAATACAACAAGCAAGATGATTATTTTAAATAAAATGAACAAAAAATTAGACATGTATTTTTTTATTTCCCAAAAATCAGTCTTCCACAAGTTGCTTGCAATTTCAAATATTGAGCTGCTTTAAAAGAGATGTTCTCTGTGCTTACCAAGCACTTCCATCAGTATTTATTCCACACATTGTAACTGAACTTCACTGAGTGTGTTTAACCTACTAGGTTAATGTTTTACCACTGCATTTCCACTGTGGCATCTTTAAATAGTGTTAATGTGAGAAATGAAAGTCCAATGGACAAGAATTAAACAGAAAAGAAGGGTACTTACTAAATATTAAATAATAGCTACTCTCCTGCTTCTCACCATCCTCATTTGGCCGTGTAGAAAAAGTTCAGGAAAAACAAAGGTTCTTCCACACTCAGGCACTCACCTTAGGTCTCTTTCATATGTTCCTGTCAAAGAAATATTTAATAACTGATTTATTATAGACTTTCTGAAATAACACTGGCCTTTCAAAGTAAAAATACATTCTTAATGGAAGCACATGGAGCTATGGTCGTATTCTCTGTGTATTCTGGCCTGTTAAGTACTTTAACTTACATTAACCACAGTGACAGAATGCTGGGGTGAGAGAGAATGAACGTGCGTGTGTGTTTGTCTCACTAGCATTCATCTGGATGTGTGTCTGCGTGTGTATGCGTGTATAATTTGAGTTGTTCCAGGTTCTACTAACGCTGAAACAGAGAAACATTCTGCCATTGTGTGTACCATAGCTAAGGACAGATGAAGTGTGAAAGCATTCCTTGAAGCCAAACCAACTGTACGAGCATGTGTGTTGTCCACACAAGTGAGTGTATGTGTCTTGTAAATCATAATAGAGGATGATAGTATAGTTCTTCCTCCTGCAGACAGCATCCATAACTCATTCCTCTCTGCTGAACATGGCCCCAAACACAAAAGACAGACACCCACTACAAAAAGGCCCTTCAAATGTTGTGCTAAATATAGACTACCTTAAGATATCTTCAAAAGTTTTTAAGTACTGGGCTTAGAACCTAATAGACCTATATTATTGTTTCTGCTTAATTAAAGGATGCATTGTATCAGCATCCTCAGTTGTGTGTGTTACGGAGAGAGAAGCATTATTTATACTGTACATATACGGTAAGAAAGACCATCACACTAAAAGTGTTTATCTGGCTGGTCTCATGCTTTATTATGAGCTGAGAAAAGTCGCTGATGGATGATCAATCTCTGTGTTCTATTAAACCAATTAGTGTACTGCTGTGGGACAGGATGGACCTACAGTTAATTCAGATTAAAAAATCTAAAGGTGATGTGATGTGAATGGAAGAGAAGGTCTGAGAATTACTCACTAAACCTTCTCACTAAACAATACTTTATTTTTTTCTAAAGCCTGAGCACTGCATGTGTTATATAAACATGCCATTCTAAAAGGATCTGAATTTTTGGCCATGGTAGGTAAATTTGCCTGTGGATGGTGTTTGATTGTAATAGTGTGCAGAGCATGTTGCCTACAGAGCATGTAGGCAGATGGTGTAGTGTAGTGGGAAACATGGCTGCCGTCCACACTTCAGACTAGGATTTGACTCGCACACCATGCTACACCAAGAAGAACTCCTAATATCACATTTGCCTTCATCTGTAACATGAAAATTGATAGTAGCTGTCTAATGCATAAATGCCAATGTATCACAAAATGCTATTAGTGGTGTACCTGAAATCTGAAATTGTGGGTATACTGTGAGTAGCTGATAGCAAGACTAGCCCAGCTAGAGAGCCACACAACTAAAACACTACACTGTTAAAAAAAGTATTTTCACTGCCAAAGTACTGTAAAATTGGATGGTCAGTATTTGATTTTTGAAAAAAAAAGGCTAAAGGCTAGCATAGAAAATAAATCATATATATAATTGCTGTCAGAACAAAATGTTCTTTTTCTTTTTCTTCTTTTTTGACAATTTGATAATTCATCATGAAACTTTGATATATGAAAGTTTCATGATGAATCGAGCAATGGAAACGCTCTGGATATGAAGATTTTTTTGTCCAACAATGACAATATACTATATTTTAACACTACTGTTGTTCATTTTACAGAAATAGAATGTAAATAAAACACAAAAAATGGTCGTCTTTATTTCACTTGTGTTTCATTTGTGTTTACTTAATGTTTGTTAGTGTAATTTTTATGGTACAATACTATATGTCAGAATAACTAGTGAAACTAGTGAACAGTTGAATTACAGTAAAAGGCAGCATTTCTTAGAAAATAAATGACTGTAATTTTACAGATTTTTACCGTAATTAAGAAAACAAACTTTTACTGTGACTGGGGTTTTGTCTGGTTTTTACAGTTTTTTACAGATTACAGTGTACATAAATATGAATGACACATTAACGTTACATTCATGGTGTAATTTCAGTCCATATACAACTTTAAATGTTTTTCATTTAGCTTATTTGTCATGTTAAGTATTTAAATTTCTAATAATGTTAATTATGGAGCAAATTTAGTTCCAATCCACAAGGCTAGTTAAAATAGCTGTACGTAGCTAACATTAACTTCAGCTCAGGATGACCTGGGAGGGACCATGCAAGCACACACAAATGTCTCATTCAGAGACTTTCTAACTGCTATGGTAGAGTGAGGAAAGAGTATTTTTTTTGCTGAGCTTTGATATTATAGGGGACATCTATTTCCTAAAACACTGATTACGTTTTTCTGCCCCAAAGGTGAGGACCACGTGGACTAGACCTCTGAATAATACTAAAAGAACTTTCATTTATTCACCTGAGAAGCATTCAAACTTGCTGGAAGTTTAAATCTCTAATGCTGTGAAAAATTTTAGTCTGAATTCTAAATCTCATTTTCACTCTGATGGCAGTGACTTTTTTAGTTCACAGGTGGAGGTGAGATTCTCAAATCGAAGAACTTGCTAATAATTTTCTTTTTGTCTACATGGGCTGTTCTTTGTAACTCATCCGCTGACTGGCTCGTTGGATGTGGAAGGCGAGCTCTCAGCTGTAAACAGTGCTGAGTGTTTTTAGTGTCCACAGACCATCAGTCAGACCTGCAGACAAACAGACTGGCTACAATTTCACCAAAGACAGAGAGAGCGAGGGGTAACTCCATTACCTCGGCAGATTAATGATCTTTCCCTGGTGACCAGGAGCTGCTCTGCAGTGAGAAAAAGCTCGGTGCTGGACAGTGAAAACAAGCTCTGTCACACAGACAGTGTCGTGTTTGGTGAGAATAACTGTTATCAGGTCAATAAAGTAACGACTCATTGTTCACAGAAAAACATGCAGAGCAGACAGGTAAAGTTTACTCAGTCCGCAGTGGTCATTCTGGACTCAGAATGCACTCCTGTGCAGTGCTATCACAGTAAAGGGGGTGGGTGGACCATCTCTTTTTATCCATTAAACAGACTGTTTTTGTTACTGCCCCTTTAGGGTTTATTTATGAAATAGCCTTTATGCTGATTGGCTGTCCTGTTTAATGCCTTCTTGAAAAAGCCATCCAAACTGAAACATGGCTTATAACTTGGGGGTAAATGGGCGGGCTAAACTGCTGTAGGTTGAACATGTGAATATATGTAAATATGTTTGTTTTTGTGACTTTACAAAAAACAGCACTTTCAACAGGCTGTGTTTGCAGCTTAATTTCCTTATATTGTTGCCGTCCAAAATGGACCAATGGGAATGTTCTAAAATCACTAGGAATAAAACCTCTTTACATAAGCTTTTTTCTTTGGATAGCGACAATATAGACTGTGGAGTGAAATAGTAATGCACCAGAATAAACATTCTTGGTTGAAATTCAGGACACACTGGGCTGAAAAATGTAACCGAAAAATCTGACTATGAATGAAAACAGTTAGCATCAAATAAGCTAAAGAAAATTATTACAGTACGTAAGCAAAAGTATATGCCTATTATTTGCATAGTGTTTGGCACGTTAGTGTGAGCCTTTGTGATAAAATTTATCAGTGGTCAAAATTTTGGTTAATGCTTAGAGTGAATTAAATGTTTCTAAACTTTTGTACTCTTTCACTTCAAAATTCAAGTAAAGTGTTTTCCCAGGATGTGGACTCTTTAAAACTAATATTAAATCTGCTGACAGAATAAGATACAAACCACAGTGATCCCAAATCTATTTGTTCCCATTTTGTGCAGTAATATTAAGGTAGCTGTATATATTGTCACAAAAGACCAGAATTACGTCAGTTGGGTTGTAAATACACAGATTTATCCATCATCACTTGCTATCTCTCTCATCTCGCACACAATCAGCCCTCAGTGTTTGTGTTGGTTGTTGGAGAGGAGCTCTTTATTGCTGCTGGAGATACAAGAACAGTGTATATGTGAGCCTCTCATTCAGCTATTTACAGAAAGAGAGAGAGAGAGAGAGAGAGAGAGAGAGAGAGAGAGAGAGAGGAGGGAGAGGTAGGGAGCGAGGGAGAGAGAATAAGAGGTTGACAGACTAAGAGAGAGAATGTACGTTAAAGGAAAGTAAAAAAAAAATAAATGGAATTCTGAATGGAATAATCAAGTGGAAAACACTGTGGAAAATTCATGTTCCTCAAGGTGTCAAATTTGGTATGAATGAAATATTTCCTAAAGAACGATTTTACAGGTTTCTTTTCCAAAATAGTTCAAAATAGTTAATCAAATGAAGTTTTCACAGATTCCCCTCCTTATCACAAATGTGGTCAATCAGCCATGGTCATGGGGTTTAGACATGGTTGGTGTCAGTTTAGGCTAGCCCACTAATAATGTAGTAATACACTAATATTAGGCTTAAAATGGACTCAAAATGAAATTTTCGTCATTCATGATCAACTCTATCCATATCATAACCGTAAAATATTAATGTGCTTAACTAAAGATGAAACTACTACAGGCCTATTGCTATACAGTAAAACATTTTGTGAAAAACTGAAAGTGGTCAAAAATGAAATGTGAAAACCAGCTAGATAATGACTGAAAGCCCAGGGACACGGTGGTGGGCTTCAGGTTAAAAATGCATTAAAGCACAGTGACTACCACCATTCCCACTGTGCCCCAGTGGAAATCCATAGTTCTCACAGCAGGACCAGGCAAAGAGGGCAGCAAGGGCAAGTCATTGTGAGCCTTAGAGAATATGAGAATAATTCAGAGCGAAACTCATTCCTCTTCTGTCCTGCAGACTCAGCCTGAAGCTTACATAAGCTGTGAAGGATGTTTGGGGAAATGTGGAACCATATTGTTCATCACTGTGACCTACTGCAACATTCTCAAAATGACGTTAGGAAGGAGGGAGAGAGAGAGAGAGAGAGAGAGAGAGAGAGAGAGAGAGAGAGAGAGAGAGAGAGCAGTGCTGAGAACGAGAGAAAAATGGGAAGCCTCTTGGACTCTACTTCCCTCTACGTGCCACAGCCTATATCACATTATTCTCCGATAAATCAAATAATGCAGAGCTCGATGTGTAGCTCCGTGTGGAAAGGTTCCTGTTCATTACTCAAACTCCTCACACAAGCTCGAGACACGCAGCCTCAGTCCGGAGCTCACAGCTCGTTTTAGTTGGAGCGGGGAACGGGCTGATTTGTGGATGTGACTATAGCGTGTGATCATGTTTTCCTCGAGCTTCCCAGTAAAGCTGGAATTCCTCGGTGCAGGCTGTCCGCGCTGGAGCGCGTTCGCGGGCGCGGAGTGCTGATCAGAGATGAGCGTTGTTAACTGGAGGGAATTCTGACTTATCTGACATCAGCAGCTCCAGCAGAGCAGCCCGATCGTCCGCATGAGGCTCTGGACTCTCAGCAGAGCCGCAGTGGCGGTTCTGCTCCTTTTCTGTTCACACGTGAGTCCCTACAATCGATTAACATTGTTTAATTACTGAGATTATATTGGGCTGTTTTATATGTAATGGGCCGAGAGATCAGACCAAACTTGACGCGGACTCGCTTCAGAGTTGTGTGGCACTGTACTTGGAGACTAGTGGTGCTAATCAATTCAGTAGAAGTGCTATTGGTCAGTGTTATTATATGCATTCAAATACCTACAGAGTTTAACTAGAGTTTATCCAGTGTGATTTTACTGTGTAGGAGGAAGAGTGTTTATATAATAACACTTTCTAGTGTTTTAGTTCTGAACTCCAGCTCTTCATAATTGGCAGCAACTGTTCATTTTAAGCAAAGTGAGAATTATATAACGATGTGCTGTTCTTAGACAGTGTTGGGGAAAAGTTGTTGGTCTACAGCGTATTAAACTCATCTATCCACAAGAAGGCTGATTCCTTATAGTACATTTAGCAAACTGGTCATTCTGTTTATGAATCAGTTGTTTCTGTCAGTGTTTATTCTCTGAATTTCTGCAGGTGAGCTAGAGATGTCTGTATATGGCTGTCTAGCACATGCTTATACTTTGAAATGTATTCCTGAGCTGTTCCAACTACAATTTAGGATTTTTTTTTCAAATTTGTAAAGTAGTTTTATTTGGTTCACTGGAAAAGTAATGTATTGAATTTACTTAATTCAAATATTGCTGCTTTGCAAATAAATAAATAAATAAATAAAATACCCAAAATGGTAAATTCATAAGATGGCAAAAATGTTATTTGGTTTTAATGTAAGTTAATGTGGATTTTTGTAATGGGGTTATTTTGGACTGTTTCTGTGGTGCATTATTTATAAAATTTTGACCCAAATGTAAAGGGCAGCTGCTGTGCTCAAATGATTTAGAATAAAAAGAGATATTTTTGACAATATGTGTGACAATATACATTATTTCCAGATAAATAAAGTATACTATATTACCACGGTGTTGTCTTTTAGTTTGTTTACTTGTGGCGATAACTGTGTTAATGTAATATATTTTATTCAAGTGGAAATTTTTGTATGCTTTACATCTGAATCAAGTAAATTCAATGCATCACTTGTTCTCAGATGAACTCCTCAGTTCTCTCTTTGATGTAAACGGTTTATTCTGATGCCTGCTGTTTTTAGAGCTTAGGAATCTGTTTGATGGACTATTTCTGAAAGATTACATTATGCTTTTTTCCATTATTGCAATGGCTTAAAGTGCTTCATGTGCCCTAGTGCTTTTTGGCCCTTATGTTGTCAGATAACAAAACAGCCTTCAAGAACAATCAAAACATGTCATTAAGACCACTTAACTTGTATATGTATACAGTGAATGTTATGTCTGTCTTAATGTGAACTACTGTGTATTTTATCGCCATTGAGATACATTTTGATAAACAACATGCTTTCCTGAATATATCGTGGATATTGTCAGTACTTAAAGAGTGCATGCTTATGAAGAACAATGTGTAAATGTGGACTAAAATCGTTGTGCTCAGAGTTTTTGATAGCAGATTTTAAATGTACCAGTAGTACATTTAAAATACATTTAAAGTACATTGTGCCTGTGCCTAACTAGTAGTACATTGTGTCCTTATCATGTGTCGTAATAATATCTTTAAGCATTATGATATGATATCTTTGCCATATTACCCACCCCACTTGTGACATCTAACTATCTGATTAATCAAATCGAGATTCAGATTCTGCTGTACTGTGGCAACATATAAACATAAATAGAAAAACAGCTACAATACTAATGTATAAAAAAGTATAAGAAGGTCTAAACTGTTGGCGTGAAAGAGATGAAACGAAGAGTCTGCAGTTTAAATATCTCAACATGCAATTTCAAAATCCAAGGTGACTGAGCTCATAGCAGTCTAACACAAATGTGTATGCATTGTAGGTAAAAGCCATTCCTTCAGAGTGTGATCCAGAGATCCAGTGGCTGAAGGAGGAGGAGAACTGCTACAGCATCATCCACGAAGACAACCTCACACACACTGGCTCCACAGGCAAGATTCTCTCTCTCACACATGTCCACACATACTTTCTTTCTCTTCTCTTCTCTTCTCTTCTCTTCTCTTCTCTTCTCTTCTCTTCTCTTCTCTTCTCTTCTCTTCTCTTCTCTTCTCTTCTCTTCCCTTCCCTTCTCTTCTCTTCTCTTCCTACCTCTCTTCCTTAACACACATGCACAGGGCAGAAGAGAAGGAGAATGTGAAACATGAGGTTCAGAGCCAGGGCAAATAGCCTCTGGTCATACACATTAGTGTCCACACCTGCACACATAATGTGTTTTTGTACACTTGTTATTTGTTAGTGCATTTGTTTGCGTGTACACGTCAGTGTATCCAGTGAGCAGTCTTGATTATTAGCATTTATCTTGGTTCCTTTAGAAGCTATAATGTGATATGATGGGGGAAGTATGACAAATAGCCTCCATGACCTAGTGCTGCATAGCATAAATCACACTCTTATCAGATCACACATGTAACCCCCCCCACCTCAGTCAGTTCCCACACACAAAAGTCGTTTCTGCTGCCTTAGCTAATGAGAGACACTTTGTGCCAGTGAATGGTACAGCCTGTACTGTTTAAAACCCAACCTGAAGTTATTTATAGGGGAATTCCACTGATTTTTCAAAATTTCAGCATAACTCCATCACTAACATGTAAACAAAGTCAGGGTGGTTTGACGTGAATTGGTTCACTGTAGTAAACATACTGACTCAGATTTCTTAACAGCGGTGGTGACAGGAACCAGAACCAGGGGTTGCAATGTGTACAACACAAACATAGCCATTTTAATTAATATCTGAAATGACCAGTGAACCTACGCGTCTTCTGAGTTTTACACGTAATGTTGATAATGGTAAAATAGTTTTTTTGCCTTAAACACTTTGCATATACCCTTTGGCTTTTAAGAAATACATGTTAGGCCAAAAAAGTCAGAACTCTTGTAAAACAGTGCCTCAGGCATTAGGTGGCATATCTGTAACCATTTAATGGAGTAACTTTTTGTGTCACTCTTAAAAGTATTAAAAGCTTTGAACATTTGATTCCAATCACTACCGCTATGAACAATTCTAACTTGCACAGTCTCTCCAGAATGGTACATTTCACATCACATCACTCTGAATAACTTTGTTCACACCTTAACTGTTAAACTACACAGAATTTTTGAAAGATTGATGGAATTCCCCTTCAAGACAAGCATGAATTCTTACCATGGCTGTCAGTTACACTGAGCTTGCACACACACACAAAGAAAACCATCAATACTGACCTGCCATCACAAGCAGATCAAAATGACACTGATGTGCAGCCAGAGAGCTCTCTCTTTCCAATCTGCTTTTCGGTCCTGTCATACTCCATCAGACCATTTTTCACCTGAGACACTGAGAGCCTGTGTGAAACACACTTACAATAACAAGACAACTATGCCTTCCTGCCATTCGTCAGAAGACAGAGAGACAGGGAGAGAGATAGAGAGAGAGAGAGAGAGAGAGAGAGAGAGAGAGAAAGAGAAAGAGAGAAAGAGAGAGAGAGAGAGAGAGAAAGAGAGTAGTGCTTAAGAGGACAGCATTCATCAGGCAAGTGGAGCATCTCTTCTGTCTCCTGACTGACATTGCATGTGCATGTGAGCGCGCGTGGCTCCTGATTTCTCCTGACTGATTATATCACAGACCTCCGGCTTCCTCGATTACAGTCACTAAGAGAGAGCAGCCCATTTAGTTCACATTATCCATTATCACGTTATTTTCCGTGATCTGCTGGGTTAGCATCAGAGGGAACGTAACGGTCACATGGGTCAGAGCCTCTTGCTTCTATTTTAAACGTGGGCGCTGTGTTCACAGTTGTAAGATATTTTTAGCTTAAGTGGAGATGTTATATTTCCTGTGAACATTACACATATAAACATTATGCACATTTCTCATCATTCATCCATAAACTTAGAGGCTAGGGAACTTTTTGATATACGCTGTAAGAGAGAATGTTGATTGTTGATTTAACTTTAAAAAGTAAGTAATCAGACTACCTTAAAATTTTGAGTTAATTGAACTTAAGTTAATGCAATAAAGTCTTTAAAGTTCAATGAACTCAACATTTTAAGGCAGCCTGGTTACATTTTTTAGGGAAACAGTTTTTCTCATAACTTTTTTAGTGTAGAAAAAGAAGCAAAGGTCATGTAGAAGCAGTTTCATCAACATTTTGTGACTTTCACTGTGTATATCATGTTTGAAGACGAATTAGGATGTTGACGTCATTTACCTTAAATCTTTACCACCTGCAGGCTGCAGTGTATTATGGGATCATCTGAACTGTTGGCCACATGCCCAAGTGGGGGAAACCGTCTCCCAACCCTGCCCCACATTCCTCAGGGTCAAAGGTGAACATCTAATTGAGCTATCTAAGAACAAGCCACAGGCCTACAGATAACGCTCTCGTTAGCCCAAAGCCAGTCAGATTCAGTTAGTAGTTTGTGGCCCATTGGCCAGCAGGTCAAAGCAGTATGGGGGTCAGCAGAGAATGTTGATTGTACGAAGTATGTAAGAAGTTATGTAATGCTTGGAGAGATATGCTGTGTACAAGATGTTATGCAATGTTCCACAGAACTACTGAAAAAAGCCAAAAAGTAAAGAGCAACATGTGTTCTCTCTGATATTCAAGGCCTGACATGTTGATATGGTCACTTGTCTTTTTGTCCATTTTTATGGTTTATTTATTCAAATCTTTTATTGATTTATCCACAGGGGACGTGATGAGGAACTGTACAGAGGCTGGCTGGTCAGAGCCTTTCCCACCATATGAGCTGGCCTGCGGATACACGCTGAATAACACACTTCACTTTCCCCCAGATGTTGTACGATCTGTTCAGCCTCACGCATAATGTTTTTATACATAAATGATGTGTCCAAAAGTCCAGACACCTGCTCATCCATCGCTTCTTCTGAAATCAGTGATATTATTTTACGTTTTTCCCCTCTTTGCTGCACTAACAGCCTCTACTCTTTTGGTGAAGGCCAAGAGGAGAAGCGACAGAGAATAACCTTATCAGTATTTGCTTCCATAACTCATAATGCAAAGTTGAACCAAGACTAAAATAGAATAATAATTAACAGAATTTTGAATGCACCTCCAACTCTGAGTCCATGGTCCTAGCCTGGAAATGGATGGCATGCAAACTCCAGGTAAGGGGTAAGAACCTGCCCTAGGTGAAGGAGTTTAAGTATCTTGAGGTTGTGTTCATGAGTGGTGGGAAGAGGGATGGTGAGATCGGCCGCAGACTGGGACAGGCAGCAGCAGTAATGCGGTCACTGTACCAGACTGTAGTGGTGAAGAGGGAACTGAGCCATAAGGTAAAGCTCTATGTTTACCGGTCGATCTACATCCCAACTCTCACCTATGGTCATGAGCTGTGGGTAATGACCGAAAGAATAAGACTATGAATACAAGTGGCGGAAATGAGCTTTCTTCGCAGGGGTACACTCTACTTAACAGGGTGAGGAGCTCGGTCATCCAGGAGGAGCTCAGAGTAGAGCTGCTGCTCCTCCACTTTGAGAGGAACCAGTTGAGGTGGTTCGGGCATCTGATCAGAATGCCCCCTGACCGCCTCCTGGTGGGGGTTTACCAGGCATGGCATACTGGGATAAGACTCCAAGGTCATCCTAGGACCCGCTGAAGGGATTACATCTCCAAGTTGGCCTGGGAGCGGCTCGGAATCCCCCCGGAATAAGCAGGAGGAAGTTGCGGGGACAGGGTTGTCTGGGATTCTCTGCTCTCCCAACTGCTACCATGACCCTTTCTGGACTAAGCGTTTTTAATGTTGTTAATATTAAAACAGGTTATATTTTATTTAATAATATATTTTACAAAATATTTTCTAAGATAAAATACTATTTACATCATCTAAACCACTTATCCTGGAGCCTATCCCAGCTGTCATTGGGCAGAAGGCAGGATACACCCTGGACAGGTCGCCAGTCCATCGCAGGGCAGACAGACAGACAGACACACAGTCACATACACACCTAGAGGCAATTCAGCATGGCCAATCAGCCTGACCGCATGTTTTTGGACTGTGGGAGGAAACCGGAGTACCCGGAGAAAACCCACCCAGACACGGGGAGAACAGGCAATCTCCACACAGAAATGACCCTAGTCGCCTGGCCGGGAATCGAACCCAGGCCATTCTTGCTGTGAGGCGACAGCGCTAACCACTGCGCCACCGTGCCGCTATAATACTATTTGTTAATATGTAATTTATAATGACTGATAATTGATGCACAGTGAACTACAAACAAATTTCACTTTAGGTACTGCTGATCCAGAGCATCCCATTCTATTTGCAATGCTTCTCTATATACACAAACTCTTCACAATTAACACTTGTGTGAGCTATAAATGCACCTTAAAGCAGCTGAATTCACTATTAGAAAGAGGTGTCTGGATACTTTTGGACATATAGTGTATCTGATTTTTCATAAATATACATTCAGTTCTGATTTTATGATGGTATGTAAAACAAAATAATTATATATCACATATGTTTGGGTTTATAAAATCCCATGAAGAAATCACCATTAGCACCCACTGCTGTTCCTTCTGCTGAAGAGACAACCTGATAACAGGCTAAAAGAAATGATGGGCTGTGATGAAATTAACTTCAAATAACGTTATGTATGTTTGTGTGTGTGTGTTTGTGTAGATGCAGATGTCATATGAGTATTTCATGTGGGTAAGGATCATGTACTCAGTGGGATACAGCATCTCACTGATCTCCCTCATCATTGCTCTCACATTGCTGTGCATTTTCAGGTATGGCCTTAAACATTACTCTACCAAAGTCAGAGACCACCCTTTGTTTATTTAATTTCTGGTCAAAACAGCTATTAAGTACATGGTATTCATTTTTCATTAGAGATTAGATATGAGATAATCCACTTGCATAAAGAAAGTCAGAGTCAAAGTAGAATAAGTGAAAAAAAGAAAAGAAAAAAGAACAGCAGGATTTTCTAAAACCAGACTCCTAACAACCATGATAGACCACCAAAACTGTAATCATCAGATAAACAGCACTTAAAGCTTTCATTTTTGAGAGCGAGAGAAGAGAAAATCAAGCTTCACTCTTACTTCATATCTGAAAAACCCACAGGTGTTTCTGTCCATCCTTCCACTGTGAGAAGACGACTCACCGCTATGAGTCTGAAAGAAGTCATTACTGATAAATTAAATAGATAAAAGGAGAAAAGTTGCTGGTGTTCCCAGAACAATGGATTGGGCACCCCAAAGTCAGGCCCTCAACATCACTGAATGTGTTTGGGATTGGAAGTGTGGAAAAATATCCCTGCAGATTTCAACAAGTTTCACAAAAAGAATGGAAGCTGTAATAAAAGCAAAGGGTGAATGTACTAAATAGTGAAAAAAGCTTATGTGTAATATTCCATTAAATATATGTGTTCTGCTTTTTTTCTTGAGTCTTAAAAATAAATTAATTAATTGACTGTAAATGTAATAAATTAAAGGTGGTCTTTTGCACAATGAAGTATGTGTGTGCATTCTTCACAAACCAAAAAACTCTTTTGGATGTTCTGGTCCTGAAGTGGTAGTTGGATCATGTAATCTGTTGTCTTTACTATGAGCTAATTCTGGAAATGTGCTTTCCTCTCTCAGAAAGCTCCACTGCACACGCAACTTCATCCACATGCAGCTCTTCCTCTCCTTCATCCTGCGAGCTGCTTTTATCTTCATTAGAGATGCAGTGCTGCACAACTCTCAGGACTACTACCACTGCGACTCTCATCCGGTACACACACACACACACACACACACACAAACACACACACACACACACACACACACACACACACACACACACACACACACACACACACAGAAATAGACATAATACTATTCCAACATTAAATCAACATTTAATATTAAAACAATTTTGTGGCAGATAAATGTAAAAAATGCTAATAAGATACAGAATGGTTTGTATTTTAAAATGATGATCAATTATCAAGACAGATAACATAAATAATTATTATAAATAGATAATTACAATACATTAATTTACATTTTAGAGAATTCAAAAATATTTGAAATGTTGAATTAAACATTTAAAAATACTTTATTCTGTCTAGTTGACCATTTTGAAATCGACATGGTATAAGTTATTATTGAATATATACTAAGATTTATTAGTATGACAAGTGTTTCCAAACCAAAGTACATAATGATGAGCCAAAACATAATGACCATTATCACCTGCATAAGCACCGAGACATTAGCAGCAGATCCATTGAGTCCTGTAAATTGAGAGGTGGACATGCCATGAATTCACACATTGAGTGCGTTTACATGCATTTAATAATCCGATAACTACAGAAAATCAGATTTCGTCAGTAATCTGATCAACATGTTTACATGTTCTTGAGTAATTAGATAATGGGAAACTCTGGGTTTACATGAGTCAAGCAGTAATCAGATGTCTGCTTTACAACCAGCCAAAAAACTCACAGAAGAAGACGTGATGTAAACATAATGTAAAACTCAAACTTGAGCGTGAACATAGATGAACATACATCATCTAGAAGATGAAGAATATTTAAATCCTATTTCGTTTTTGGTTTCAGTGCCTCTCCAAAAGTGTTTTGCTGCCATCTCGTGAAATCCACCGTCAGTTCTCGTGCATACGTAGACTGAGAAATCCGATAGAAATTGGAGTACAAGTGTACATGCACTAAGAAATCTGATTACTGAGCTAAAATACAGCTCTCTTTATCGGATTTCTAGATCAGAGTATGGTGTTTACATGACCATTTGAATAATCGGATAACTGCAGGAATCCGACTATGATCGGATTATTGAGTGCATGTATACGCATGCATTGTTTCAGTACATCCCACAGATGATCAAGCAGATCTGTAGAATTTGGAACACCTTGTACGTGACTGCCTGGACCCAGGTTTTCCCAGCAGAACATTGCCTAGAGCATCACACTAATTCCATCAGCTTGTCCTCTTCCCACATTACATTCTGGTGATATCACTTCCCTAGGTAAATGGGGCACATGTACCAGGGACTCATCAGAGCTGGCCACCTTCTTTCATTGAGTCAAGATCCGGTTCTACTGATCAAGTGTCCATTGTAGGCACTTTCGACGATAGTTAGCGTGGGCTCTTTCACCAGTCTTCAGCTACGCAGCCCCATACGCAGCATGGTGTGATGCACTATGTATTGCGACACATTCCTCCTGTAGCTATTGTTAAAATTTATGGGCTACAGTAGCCCTTCTGTCTTTGGCGGATATTCTTTGTTGCCCTCGTGCATTGATGAGCTTTAGGTGCTCCACTCCCTGTCGCTGGTTTGTGGTTTGTCCCTCCTTGGACAACTGTCGGTCACCACTGATGTCCAGGATCATCCCACAAGCCTTGCCATTTCGAAGATGCTCTGACCCTGTCAACTGGCAGTAATGATCTGGCCCTTGTGTAAGTCACTCAGGTCTTCACGCCTGCCCATTTCACTCACATCCAGCACGTCGACTTAGAGAACTGACTGTTTGCATACTATCTGGTAAATCCCTAACGTAATCCCTGACATGCACCGTTGTTACAAGATAATCAACACAGTTCGCTTCATCTGTGTGTGGTGATAATGTCTTGGCTCATTAGTCTATGTAAACATATAAATAAATGTAATAGAGCTGTCCTCTGATTCTGGGTAATTCTATACTGTGTTCTCAGCCTGGCTGCAAGGTGGCACTGTTGTTGTCTAACTACTGCATCCTGGCCAACTACAGCTGGTTGCTGGTGGAAGGTCATTACTTGCACAGCCTGATCCACCTGTCCCTTTACTCTCAGAGAAAACGCCTGCATTGGTACATCAGCCTTGGCTGGGGTAAAGTCTTTTTCACTTCTCTATCTCTGTCTCAGTCCTCATGCACACACACAAACATGCACCAAATACCTATCTGCCCTGTAATCACTCATTCACGCTCACAAGCACATTTATCTTGCACACAATAAGACATGCACCGTATTACCCTCTTACGCACACATACACACTCACAAATGCACACACTCTCATACTTATGTAAACATTTATTGGCAGGAAGGCTCAGCTGTTGGCAGTAAACACTTCGCAATGACATTTAACCATACTGTGAAATGTTTTCTTAAGCAGTGTAGCTCAAGTTTGTGTAAAGTGACTTCACTTAAGCTATAGCTCTTGCCCTGTCCACTTAGGCACTCCTGTGCTCATCATCATCGTCTGGAGTGTGGCCAAATACCTGCAGGAGAATGAGGGGTGAGTTCACAAATACTCAAATATATTACATGTCCAGAAGTATCTAGACACCCCTTCTAATTATTGAACTCAGCTACTTTAAGTTCACTAGCACCAATTGCTGACACAGGCATTAAACTGTACACACACAACAGAAAAGCATTGCCAATAAAATAGAAGGTCATCATGCTAAATAAAGCCCCCTAGCATTGACCTGTGGAGGAATGGAACTACATTGTCTAGAGTGATCGAGTTACATCTAATATCTTTGGGATGGGTTGGAGTGCCATTTGTGATTTAGGACTAATCATCCAACATCAGTACTTGACCTTAGCCCTTGTGGCTGAATGTAGTCAAATCCTCACAGCAATGTTTCAACATCGACTTCCCAGAAGAGTAGAGGCTGTTACTGCAGTAAATAAACTTCCTATTAAAACCCTTGATTTCAGAAGAAACATCGATTGAGAAGGTGCGTACCAACCTTTAGACTTACAGCTAACCTTTCAGTAGAACTCTCTTCATGCACTGTAGCAGATATAAGAACGTTCAGTGCCCAAAGTGACTATCATGGTGCCTACACAGCATGACACATTCTAATTTGTGTATGAGCTGTTCTCCTTTGTACCACACCTAAATTAGATTAGCTTATTTACTATAGAGCCATAATCATATTCACTATCACACATTACAAAACAGGTTTGGAAAATACTGCAATTTTTTGGTTGCTCTATGCGCAACCAATTACATATCCTATAATTATGCAGCCTGGGAGTGAACTGCAGAAATTAGTCAACGGCGTTCTTTTCATAAAAAGGATACGCAGAGCTTTCATAATTTGGTCTGAGTATGGAAATCCAACCTTTTATGGTATTGATCGAATAACTTTAATTTTACAGAGTATTGAAAAATTCTTTGTCATTAAATACCAAATTTCAGTACCTAAGCAGTCATTTGAGCCAATAAGTTTGCTCCTAAATCTAGACTGATGATTGGCTGCTTAAATTACATTCTGTATGTTATTAACATCAGAGCTTTCTAAGTAGTCTGCACACAGTAAATACCCCCACTTCCAGCTCCTGAGACTCATTTGTGACTTGTCACACTTTACAGTTTCAAAGAAGGTATCATAAAAAGTATAATTCAGGAATCAGCATCGAAGTCAAGGTGTCGGTATAGGTATTGATGTTGAAAAATGTTACACAGTACCCAGCACTAACTCAGAGTGTATAGTGAGGAAATAAAAGAACTTGTAAGCTTCACTGTCTTCATATCATGGCAGCATAACAACATATGTCCAAGGTTAAAGACACAGATTTAAGGTAGTTATTTGTATTTTTTGAATAAACAGTTATCAATTTTAGTGGCAGGTGATGGCATATTATTTTACACACTTTTTGTTATCAGACATAAGAACTGACAGATTATAAACCAATTAAAGGGTGCAGGACGCTGTAAACACAAAACGCCCTTTGCTTCCTTCAACATTTGTCTATGATGACAGGTTATATTTCTATATACTGTGTGATACTTGAAATACATCACAAAGTTGAATGTTTATCATAATGTATCATGAGGGGCATTGGGTATATTTGTAGAAAGTCCTGGCACGTTACAGCAACATGTGTGTGTGCAGGTGTTGGGAAACAAGAGGCAACAGCTGGATCTGGTGGATTCTGAGAGTTCCTGTTTTCTTAGTCATAATAGTAAGTTACATACAAACACACTTCAAACCAAAATCTCAGACTTTATAGATGTAAATGAAGGGTTTTGTTGCAAAACACATTAAAGTAAGACTATCCTTATAAAGTGTTAATGACTTGTCTAAATTTAGTTTATTAGTGGTAATTAATTAGGTAATAAACACCTTAAAATCATTAATAAGCAGTTTTAATACATAAATAAAAGGTGCCCTGTTAGAGCTGATGCATAAAAATATCTGATGAAGCTCACAGGTATAATGCTGACTGATGGAAACAAAGTAAGATAAGCTACCTGCAGGATCTGATCTTTAACAATATAGACGAATGTGAACAAGCAGTAGGTCAGTGTTGCTCTTTTTGTATTATAACAGCTTATTAATGATTTTAAGATGTTTTTTAAACAAAAACTATCTCATTTTAAACCATTCATAAATGCTTCATAAGAGTAGTCTTATTGTAAAGTGGTGCTGAAAAAATGTGTTTTTGACAAAGTGAATTATACACAAAGGTGTCAACCTCTTGAGACAATAACCTTTATATTCACAGCCTCCTGTGAATTGAAGCCTCTTGTGAACTTTATTTGTTCACCAAAACCCATATATATTCAACACATTCTTTAACAATATAAAGTACCATTTCAACAGGGAAAGAACTATTTAAGCATGCAAATGTTTCTTTGAGTGTTCATGGTTCTATAGAGAACAATTCTCTTTACTAAAAAACCCTTGAAGAACCATCTTTTTTTAAGTGTGTGGTATGTTTGGTAGTTGTACTACATCAAATGTTGCCTGATACAAACTGCAGTGTTAGTTGGATTAGCTGTTGTTTTATATTCTTTTTTGCACATCATAATTCAGGTGAACATGGTGTTTTTCATGAGAATTATACGGACATTAGTGCGCAAGATGAGAGCTCCAGACATGATTGGAAATGAATTTAAACAGCACAGGTAAGTTACCCAAAAACACCACATAAAAGTTACATAGTTCAGACAGATACAGAACAGATGGGAAAATTCTGTATTTCAGTTTAACTCACTTTTTGATGCTCTGTTCTTTTGCTGAGTATGAAGGAAGCTGGCCAAGTCCACACTGCTGCTGGTGTCGCTGTTTGGTGTGCAGTATGCACTCTTCACTTTTTTCCCTGATGAAGTCAGCATTCTCACCTTCCAAATCTGGAACGCTATTGAGCTCGCTATGGCCTCTACACAGGTGATGACTTAGTATCGACAAGACTTTACTAACACACACAAATACACACACACACACCATAAATTTGCAAGAGGTAAAAGATAGACTTGAATAAACTTTCATCCCATGCATGTATTTAACTTCTGTTGATCTGCTGTTTCTTTTTGGCCCTTTTGTCACGTACTTGGCAAGTCACAGGTGATAAAAAACAGACACTAACTTTGCGCTCATTTAAAAGCTTGGTTGTGGTCCAGGCATTCAGAGAGGTCAGTCTGACTGTGTGTGTCTGTTCTGTTGTGCAGGGCTTCATTGTAGCTCTCCTCTACTGCTTCCTAAATGGAGAGGTGAGTACCTCTCTCACTCAATCACTCAGTACAGACTTTCACACCTTTTGCTCTTGTTGTCATTTCTTTAGCATACATGACCTAATCTAATTTCTACCCTTACTCCACTAAAAACATTGCTGTATTTATTGATGTAATATAATATATAGGTGAAAGTGAAAAAAAGGAGAAAAAGCCTCCTTTAAGAAGAGTGTATACATACTGTAAAGCTAAATCTGTGTGAGAAATAAGGGAAATAAACCGGAAACAGAACAACAGTCAATTTTAATTTATTTTTCTTCACTCTATTAGACACTCCTACCTTGTCAGTCCACTTTGTAGATGTTAGGTGAGAGACGATAGCTCATCTGCTGCTGCAGTTTGTGTTGGTCATCCTCTAGTCCTTCATCAGTGGTCACAGGATGCTGCAAACAGGACACTGTTGGCTGGATATTTTTAGTTGGTGGACTATTCTCAGTCCAGCAGTGACACTGAGGTGTTTAAAAACTCCAGCAGCACTGCTGTGTCTGATCCACTCGTACCAGCACAACACACACTACACACCACCACGTCAGTGTTACTGCAGTGCTGAGAATGATCCACCACCCAAATAGTAACTGCTCTGTGGTGGTCCATGGGGGTCCTGACCACTGATGAACAGGGTAAAAGGGGGCTAACAAAGTATGCAGAGAAACAGATGGACTACAGTCTGTAATTGTAGAACTACAAAGTGCACCTATATAGTAAGTGGAGCTGATAAAATGGACAATGAGCATAGAAACAAGGAGGTGGTCATAATGTTATGCCTGATCAGTGTATATATATATATATGTATATGCTGAGATTAGATTTGTCCTCATCATTTGATCAGAAGATAAAATAAGAGGGGAAGCATCTTACTCTGGGGGGAGGGCTTCAAAATATAATTTTCTATACATATTATGTTCTTACATTATGCTTCACCTGATGCTGTTTTTAGGTTCTTGTTCTATAAATTTTGACAATACATTCTGACCTCTGACCTTCGGTAGGTTCAACATGAGATTAGGAGGCGCTGGCGACGGTGGCAACCAAAGAAGCGTTTCCATGGTGATCCCAGAATGCACAATGGTTCCCTGAGTCACAGTGGCCTGCCACTCACACAGATTTCACTCTTAGCCAGAGCTAACAACATGACCTAACACACACACACACACACACACACACACACACACACAGTGTGTTCTAACACATGCTGTAACACAACCACAGTGCAATACTAAACACACAACTGATCAGTACAACACAATACAACCTAATATATGCCACAAAAGCATAACAAATATATCAGTACTACATCACATTTAAAAAAATAAAATAGAATTAATAAATAAATAAATCACAGCAAGAAAGGCCTGTGTTTGAATCTCTGGCTGGGCAACCAGGATCCTTTCTGTGTGGAGTTGCATGTTCTCCCTGTGTCTGTGTGGATTTCCTCCTACAGTCCAAAGACATGCAGTCAGGCCAGTTGGAGACACTAAATTGCCACTAGATGTGTGTGACTGTATATGTCTGTGTATCTGCCCTGTAACAGACTGGTGACCTGTCCAGGGTGTTTCTTGCCTTCCGCCCAATGAGTGCTGGGATTGGCTCCAGCACACCCCGCGACCCAGGTGGATAAGCAGTTTAGATAATGAGTGAATTAATTAATTAATAAATATTGGACTATGGTTTTTCTTGCTATTTGCATGGCCCTTTGCTGCAGTAACAGCCTCTGCTATTCTGGGAAGGGTTTACACTAGATGTTGGAACATTGCTGTGGGGATCTGATTGCATTCAACCACAAGAGCATTAGTGAGGTCAGGTACTAATGTTGGATGATCAGTTCTGGATCACAAAAGTCACTCCAACTAATCCCGAAAGAATTCAGTGGTGCTCCATCACTCCAACAACTGTGTTAGTATGGGTGCACCTTAAAGTAGCTGAAGTGACAAATTTAGATGGGGTGTCTGGATACTCAAACACTCTACTGCTCTAAATAAAGGTATTTATGTCATCTTTCATTTATACTGTAATGTGGGATTAAAATCAGTTTAATTTACAAGGAAAAATAATACTTTTCCATAGATTTATACATCAAACACATGCTTTCACAAACCTGAAAACTCCAAAAAGAATACATTTCTGTGTTGATTGTAAAGTGTAATATTGTAAAGTGTTGTTTACTTTAAATTATATACCTGTCTGAGGATGCTCTATGTCAGAAACCCCAGGTTGACCCAGGCTCTCACCCAGAGTATGCTTCTGAACAAGAGGGTTTTTAGCTCACCAGTTTAAATCAATACTGCTTAGCTTGTTATGACTTAAAGTACATACTGAAAAACAAGAAATTAGGTTATAAAGCACGAAGAGAGGTATTACTAATCATGTTGCTCCATGTTACTTGTTTCTTTATATGTGCTTCTTTTTCCTTGCTGCCTCTTAGTTCATCAATTTATAACAACACTGTACCATTGTGAGTGTAATATATAAATATATATAAAAGATGAAATTGTGAAAATAAAATGTCTTTATTGAGAAAAAGATTTGAATTAACAAGACTGAATAAACTACCTGGATTATTTATTCATTGCCTAGCCATTGTGATTATGTACAGTTCTTTAAATGGAACCATTTGGCTCAATAACCCAAGAAATAGCATCATAGTATATCCTCTTAATTCTGCTCTGTGGCGGTTGTACAGCACCACAGAGTGTTGAATCCAGAGAGGCTGATGCCTACAGTTTTCCTCCCAAATGACCACTAGAGGGAAGCAGTTCTGCCATATTCTGGATATGCCGTGCTGCCAAGCCATTGAGGAAGAACAGGAAGGTTGCAGTGAACTGGCACCAGAAGGTGAGAGTGAAGCCCAGAGGTGTAGCATGATCCCAAAACAGGAACACAAAGGTCGCAACCCCCCCAGCAGCGAACCCTGCAGCCAGCAGCACAAGCCATGCTCCCAGATGCCAGCGCTGGCTAGATGCCCGCCCCTCGCTCACCTGGGACATCACCAGCAGCTCCAGGCCAAAGATGGCACTCACCACAGCCAGAGAGACAACAGAACGACACACACACAGTCCCGGGTCCAGACCCTCCCCAATATGCCTACTGCAGTTGGGGGCCGCGCCAGAGTCCTCCACCACACAGAAGAACCAAAGGCCAAACATACGTCGGTCAGACAACAGCCAGTGTCCATCACACACTGCGACAGAGGACAGGACAACAGAGAGAGCCACACAAAGAATGATCAGACTTCGACACAGCACCTCCAGGAAAAGAGGGCGAGACTTCCCCTGGGCAGCAGGAGCCACTGCCTATGAGAGAGATGGGTGGAGAGAGGCAGAAAAAAGAGTATTTTATTATATCATCATTGTAGAGACTACATTGCATATCTGAGTATTTCATATGCTGCAAGACGGGCTGTTCCAGAAATTCTGGAGTCATTTCTGATTCCAGTGCCTGATTTCCCTGAACACAATCCCCTTTGCATAATCACAATACCCAAATTAAGGGTTGTGACTAGACATTTCATGTGTAAGCACCATCTTAGTACTCACCCTACCAAAAATTGATATATAAACAAGAGAAATCATCTTCATTTTGAGATGGTTGTATACATAAGATTATTATACTTATTTCTGGATGTTTTTTACTCATTTAACTTAATTGAGTAAAATTTGGCTTGTTTAAGCACATTTCTTAAAAGAAGCAAAAATATCTGCCAATATAATGAGATAATATTACTCACTATAATTACTCAAAACACATAAAAATGTCTAGAAATAAGTTAATATTATTATTATATTCTTATAATAAGCCTACAGCAATCTCAACATGAAGAATATTATAATATTATATCTATAGATATAACGACTAGATTTAAGATCATTTCACTTTCCAAGATATCATGCATTGCATGTAACAAGGTACAAAAAGGCATGTGTAGTACTGAATACAAAAATGGCTCACCAGAGGGCTAACACACTCCTCAAATAATATTAAAAGTTAGGCTTTAAGTTTAAACATTTTATAAAGCATTAACTGAAAACTGCAATATACGAAATAGTGAATGTTAAATGCATGTTGTTTAAGCTTCAAATGTCTTGAGCTGCCAAACGTAGCTTTAAGTGAGTGGAAAGAAAAGACACACAACTTTATGGGGAACATTTATTCAGAGACCCATCCCCAATTTTTAAAAATTTACTTCCCAGGGAGTTTTTGCCCCTGGAGCCGTGGCTTTAGTTGTACGCGCTCTGATGGCTTTCTAGTCTTGAATGTGCTTATCTATGAATTCAACTCATGGAGGCCTTGAATTATCCTGGACTAGTCCTGCCTGTGTATCTTGGTGCTTTCCCTCCTGAAACACCTGATTCAACTAATCAGCTACTAAACAAGCCATTCCTGTTAGAGCAGGGAAAACATTAAAATGTGCAGATGAGGGATACTCTGGAATGGATTACTGAACAGACCAGTTGGCCAATGCCCAGGGGCATCTGACTGCCAGGGGTCTTGGGAGGGCTTAGACCACAATGCCTGATGGGACTCAAATACTACAAAAGATAATATTATTGAAATAAATGAAGACATCTTTTCAGGCCTTTTGAGTTATATGTTATTATTGACCCTTGGGATGTTGTTGTTATTCAAATGTTTTAGACAGTGTACAATAGTGATTTTAGTGTTTGCCCTTCTATGTGTATATGACTACTTCTGTTTTTGCTTTGTTGGTTTGGCTGAAAAGAAAAAGATATCATGATTTAAGTTTAGACATACAAGTCTTGCACAAAAAAGACAAACTGGACTGTGTTTTAGTTGATATTTATTTGTTAGGTGTTATCCCTAGAGTTTGGGGAGCCTCTGCAGATGCTTGTGCCCAGGAGCCTGACAAACCATGACAGGGATACTGCCAGACCAGTGTTGGGAACCACTGACCTACTTCATAGATCTGAGCGCTGCATAGGTCTAGCTTGCTCTGCTTCATGTCTTTGCTCTAATGATGTGCAGTGAAAATACATTCCTTGCAGCTTGATTTAATTTTAAAATTATCATATTGTAAAGCCACCTTTTACTTTTCAAATGTTCCACTACTCAATGCAAATAAATTTTCCTTGAGGCCAGGGGCAGACTGTTACCAGTCTACAAACAAACCAGAGAGTAAAAGGATAGTTCAAAACTAACTTGTGTTAACTAAGGACTTAGTAAGGCTTTTCGCACAAACATAAGTAACAACTTACACAAAACTTATGCAAAACCCAGTCTAGGTCCGCTCTCAAGTGTAAAAAAAGAAAAAAAAAAGTTAACCCATCCCCTCACCCACTGAGAGATTGAACATATTGTATACTTTATTTATCTTATAAAATTCTCATTATCCTTTAAAACATATATTTTAAGTAACAAAATGCAATGTAATGTTAACAAATGCATTTAAAGAACTAAATTTAAGGTGACACTTTTTGAGTGGTCCTTTTAGATGAAACACTCAACAGACTAGGATTAGGTTTTGGGTTAAGGTTAAGGTTAGGGTTAGAACTAGGGCGAGGGTGAGGATTAGGTTTTGGGTAAGGCTGGGTAAGGTTAGCTTTTGCATAATGGAAGTAACATATTAACAATACATCTACTTCATGTAAGTACAAGATATTTACTTCAATGTATTTCGAGGCTGCACTACTGCTACTTCACTGATATGTTGATGTATTACTGATAATCTGTTTATTATTCATCTATAACGGAAATCTCCATCTCTAAATAAAATGTTACCCGATTTGAAACCTACCTGTCTTTCTTCATTGGTATTTTGTCTTTGGCTCTTGGTGAACCACAAGCATTGCACTTCAGCACCCAAGGCAAAGTTTGGGCACCCCTGATCTAGACTGTCAGAGTAACCGGTAACCGGAGTTACCTGTCCCTTTCTCTCCTGTCCGCCTTACAATTAATTTCAGACTCACAGAGGGTCAGTGTTAATGGAGCCTAATGATAGTGGACTACAGACAGCACATCGACATGAAGTCGAGGCCCCTGTTTGGTTATAAATCTAAACTTCCGTGCGCGCTCACGCACCACAACCGGGTGTCCCCCGTCAAATCCACCGTTATAAGTTTCAGAAAGAGTGAAATGTAACGTTACCCTCATTTTGATCGCGGTCATCCTGAATCCAACCCGCGCCGAACGCGAAGGACGTCACGCACTCCGGCTTCCAGTCGAAAGTACACAAGTCTGTAATTTCTGTGTAACATTAACTGACACTGTAGGACAATTGGGATTCACACGGTGTTAACAGCAGTCCGCTCCCCGCACAGCCCCCCTGGGATGCAGCCTGGCCGCCGTTCGTTTTCTGGTCACGTCGCCGCCTGGTTACTAGGGAAAAGTTACTGTGAGAGAAAGAATGGACGCTTCGTGTGATCACTCAATGGGTTTCTAGTTATTTACTATGCGCTTTGTTCCACTAAAGCCACATTTGCCTCTGCTCAAATGAAGACTCTACCGTTCAGCGGCTGCACATAAACAAGCAGAGGGTGTAATAAAAGCACAGAGCTGTGGGTCTGTGAGTAGAGATCATGAGCAACACTGAAGACTTTGCCTTAAACCGATAGGCCTCCTCTCTGATATGGGTAATCAGCAAAGCAATAAAGTAAGCCTGCTCTGATACTTTCTCACGTAGTCTACCTCTCCATGGCCATAAAGTCTGAAAGTAAATAAACAGTAAGGCACACAGTAGCAGCATCCTGAAGCATGTAAAATCTTAAGTGTGATTAGGACTAGAATGAACAGATCTATGTGTACAGGTCACGTATGCATTGAGAAATAACTGTGTGCTCCATATCTCCTGAACTTTATTCAACCCCAGTACAAGACCTGGTCCATCTCCTTAACAACTGGTGTATCTGATTCAGTCTGGCTGACTTAGAGAGTTACTGCTGTACATTTATGTATGTACAGGGTAAAGGTTACTGCTGAGTATGTAAAATGATAAACCACCATTGAACTGTCTGTCAAAAAGCTGTTAGCATATCACATCTATTTAGGTTGACTGTTTAAAGGGTCCGTACCATGGTAAACTACATTTTCCTCACTTTTTAAAAATAAAACAGCTTGGTGTAGCACGCAAACACTGTTAAAGTTTCAATACCATTCACTTCTTTACCCATGCAGTCCACACATGGAAAATAATTTGCATGAATATTTTGAACAGATTGTTTTTGTCACGTCACAAAGACCAGCATATTTACAAACCCAGTTCCAAAACGTTAGGACAGTGTGTGGAATGCCAAACAAATAAACAAACCCAGAAAGCAGTGATTAATAAATTTTGTTTCGTAATAAATTGAAAACAGTAGAAAAACACAACATTTGATGTTTTATCTACTCTATTGTTTTTTGCACTTTTTGTGAATATAAGCTCATTCCAAATTTGATGCCTCCAACATGTTGCAGAAAGTTGGGATAGGAGCATGTTTACAACTGTGGTACATCACCTTTCCTTTTAATGTTTTTTTAAATTACTGGGCTGTGCAATTGTTGTGGGCCTTCATGTTGTATTTGTCACAAGTTTTCATTGGAAGACAGTTCTGGACTGCAGGAAGGCTTTCTGATTACGTAGCCATGCTGTTTTAACATGCAGAATGTGGCATGGCACTGTTTATTTGAAATTTGCATGGACATCCCAGAAAAAGATGTCATCTAGAAAGCAGCATATATTACTCCAAAATGTGTTCAGCATTAATGATGCTTTACCCCCAATACCATGACAGACCCTGGCTTTTCAACTTTAAGCTGGTATAATCTAAGTGAACCTTTTCTGCTCTGGCTCAGAGAACATGACATCCATTATTTCCATTTGAAATGTCGGAAAAAAATCTGAAAAGTTTACGTGTGAAACCACAGAACATGTTTCCTGTACATTTAAGATGAGCTTGAGTATAGAGAAGCCAGCAGCATTTCTAGACATTGTTGACACATGGCTTCCATTGTACAAAGTACAGTCTTGCACTTGTGAAGGCAGTGAAGTATTCCTGAGCCCATGTGGTGATATTCATCACAGAAGCATGCCACTTTTTAGTGCTGTCTTAGGGGTCAAAGGTCACAGGCATTCATGTGTGGTTTTTGGCCTTTGCCTTTACTCACAGATATTTCTCCAGATTCCTTGAATCTTTTGATGGTAATATTATGCACTGTAGAGGCTGAAATACCTAAAATCTTTACAATACCTGGACCAGGCCTTTCCTAGATGTTCATTTTATGCCAAAGCATAATTGCATCCTCTGTTTAATTTGTTTTTTGAACATTTCACAATCAATTTCAGAATGAGCATGCACTCACTGAGTACTATATTGGATACACTTACCTTGTATCTACACATTGTCCATTTTATCAGCTCCACTTACCATATAGGCGCACTTTGTAGTTCTACAATTACAGACTGTAGTCCATCTGTTCCTTTGCATAATTTGTTATCCCACCTTCACCTTGTTTATCAATGGTCAGGACCCTCAGGGGACCACCACAGAGCAGATATTATTTGGGTGGTGGATCATTCTCAGCACTGCAGTGACACTGACGTGGTAATGGCATGTTAGTGTGTGTTGTACTGGTACGAGTGGATCAGGCACAGCAGTGCTGCTGGACTGAGAACAGTCCACCACCCAAAAATATCCAGCCAACAGCATCCTGTGATCACTGATGAAGGACTAGATGATGACTAACACAAACTATGCAGCAACACATGAGCTATTGTAGAATGGAGAGCAAGTGGACACTGTGGAGTGTTTATGAACTGCTGTGTCTGATCCACTCATACCAGCGCAACACACACTAACACACCACCACATCAGTGTCACTGCAGTGCTGAGAATTATCCACCACCCAAATAGTATCTGCTCTGTGGTGGTCCTGACAATTGATGAACAGGATAACAGTGGGTTACCAAATTATGCAAAGACAGAGAGGGACTAAAGTCTGTTATTGTAGAGCTACAAAGTGCACAAGGTAGATGTACTTCTCAGTGAGAACATACTTATAAAAGTCAAGCACAAAAAGTTGATAAAAGTATAACATTACATATCTTTGTACTGTTTTTGTTCAAATACAGGTGAAAGTAGATGTATAAATATCACTGCTTTCACTTTTTTTCCATTTATAAATTACCTACTATCCCAACATTTTTGGAACTGGGTTTGTACTTATAACCACTTAGCCTTCAGCAGATCAGCCCTTCCTTTCATGTTTAAGTTAGAAGGAGTGTTTCAGCTTAGACTGCTTTTTGAATGAGGAGTAATACAGAACAACAAAAATTCTTTTTATAAACATAAATCAGTCTTAAAGGATAAAGAGAGGTTGGAAATGGTCATGTGAATTGATGAAAATTTATTCTTGACTATTCATAAAACCAAACAAATGGCATAAGTGGACCACAGGAGGGAAACTGATATGTAAGAAAAATGTAGGTTATGAGCCCTATAAAGTCTTAATATATAATCTTAATTTTTTTTAACATACAGAAATCTAGGTCTGCTGTAGGATTCAATGACTTAAAATCAGCTGCATGTGCTGATCTAATTGTCTCATGTAGACCACAGTTCAGTGGACAGAGACATAAAGGGAGGACTATACTGGTTAGGCTCTGGAGAGTAGTATGTTTATAAAAACCTACAGACACATTTGAAATGGAACAGAATTTATGACATTTGTGGTCTTTACAGTCGTTTAGCGAAGGTTACAAAGTTGCTGGTGGACGGTCTCTGTAGGCCAAACAGGCATGAATGTCCTGTGTTCCTGGGGTGAGTCTTTGTGGCGCCAATATCACATCAGTGATATGTAGAGGTTTAAGGCTTTTTAAAGTAAAAGTACTGACTGGCCAGAGGATCAATAGTGAACCTCACAGTCCAATTAACAATTCAGATTCCATATTTTTCTTTCAGCTCCTCAACTTTGCTGATGTAGGCCTTCACTGCATCCTCCTTACTCATGCCTAGAAAAATTGCAACAACAAAAGAAAGATCAACCCACTAAATACAGACAAATATTCATTCCTAGTTGTAGAGTAAAACCTAGTAATATTTTGGTAGGATTAGTGGAAAGTTTTTCAAGTCAAGAAGCATTTTAAACAAATGTTTAAATAGGAAAAAAGGATGCTTCAGAAAGCAGAAAGCCTGGGAAACCATAAACTAATCAAATATCACCCCTGAAAAAACACATACAATTGACTGTCATGCCTTTGTTGCACTCTCACAGTAGCATATATGACTCGGTGTCAGCAATGCATGTCCAAATAGGCTAATGTATTTGCATCCTTAGGAGTCATATTTATCATACCTCTCAGAGTATGAGTGCTGTGCTAGAAGCAGTTATTGGCTTTCACATCATAATGAGTATGAATATGATGAAAGTGAAATTTAATGTCAGTTGATTAGTATTCTTGTGTCTTTGACACCCTCTAGTGGCCAGCTGAAGGAACTGACCTTTCTTTGCATCCCAGGCATCCCACTTGGCTTTTCCAGCGAAGTCCAGCATGCCAGGGCGAGCTAGAGAAAAGAAAAAAATAAATAACATTTTTACATTTTTATCATTTTCTAGTAATTTTGGCAAATTTTGAATATTTCCCTAATCAAACTATGCCATAACATCTAATCTGTTTAACTAGATGCAGACTTTGCACTGTCTATTGATTGTACTTAAATGAAAACCATGTTTCTATAATCCACCAATTATTCATATTAAATAATCCTATTACATGTGTTCATGATCTCCACTGGCTTACTGTAAAGCACCAAATTCACTTATAAAGCTTTTCACAACCTACTTAGTCTGATCTTCTCCTTCCCTATAAACCAGTGGTCACCAACCCTGGTCCTGGAGATCTACCTTGTACAGTCTAGATCCAACTGCAATCTGCCACACCTGCTTCAGCTACATAACTTCTTCAGAAGATCCTGATTGGCTGGATCAGATGCATTGTCACTAGGTGAGGGGAGGGGCAGCATGTCAGATGCAGGTTGGAACTAAATTCTGCAGGAAAGGGTTGGTGACCATGCTATAAACCCCCCCCATGACTATCCAATTCCTCCAGCCAACGTTAATAGCTTTGGCGATCAAGCATTGTCTTGATTTGCTCCTCCTGTGCAGAATTTTGCTCCAGCACAAGTCTAGCAGTCTAATTCTCTTACCACGTTGAGATCAAATCTTTAAATCTCTTCTCTCTAGCCTTCAATATTTCACCCACCTAATCTAACCTTCTCATTACATCTCTACCTTGTCTTCTTCCATACTATTGTGTTTTCTTGCTCGTCTTCTGCTGTTCTCTGTTTTATTACAATAGTAAGCACCTGAGTTCTAGAATAGCACTATGTGAGTATTATGAGTTATTATATTATTATTATTATTATTACTCTGTGTTACAGAACTATATGATAGTTGAAGGTGTGTGCAGAGGAGAGTTAAAGCGCACCCGTGTTGACATCTCCTACGGTGGCCTGTTTGTACAAACTGTAAATCTCCAGCATCTCAGCATCACTCGGCTTTGCCTTCAGCTGCTTCACCTCCTCTGCAGCCTTCTGAAATGCTTCCTGTGAGTGAGTGAGTGAGTGAGTGAATAAATGAATGAGTGAGAGACAGAGACCAAGTGAGAAAAAGAGACAGAGAGAAAGACAAAGAGTGGTCATTTGAAGTGTAATAATGGATCCAATTTTGCTTTTCGCATTCATTTCCTCACCTGCAAGAGAGAGCACTTCAAAATAAGAACAATGAATTCACTTTGCAGTGTTACTGCGTTCAACGTGATGAGTATGTATATAAATAAAGCTTCTGCTCTGCAGCAGCTAAACACCCAGCTTCTTTAATTGGTTGGTCTAGTTCAATTAAAGACAAAAAAGGTAATGGCTTTTAGCCCAGCTTAATGAGTCAATATAAGTAAGAGCATGGTCTTCAAACACATTTTCATTTTTTAAATAAACGTGTGTGATGTAGTATCATTAAATTCGTACTGCGAAAGTTTCGGAACGTGTGAATCACTCCTCAGTCCATATATATGAAACTACGCTACAAAAAAAAATGTATGTGTGTGTGTGTGTTTGTGTTTGTGTGTGTGTGTGTATATATATATATATATATATACACACACACACACACACACACCACACACACACACACACACATACATACACACACATAAATTCTAAGGGATAAGGGGAGATTGGAAAATAGTAATGTAAAAATGAATTATGATCATTTCTGGTGCACAAAACCACAAGTGTTACAAGTGGACAACATACAAAAAGGGGTCTTCTAAAGTGTAAGAGAGAAATGACTTGGGCTGTCAGCAAAGAGCATTTCTTAATTATCTGATTATGTAACCTCAAGAAAAATGGTGAAACAATGTGAGCCATGCAGTTAGCAAATCTCTGATCACGAGGGCAGATTTAATTTCCTTTCCACAAGTGTTGCCCGCTGCGCCCACCTGCCGAGGGGCGTACATATGCCTCCGGTGCTAAACGACAACTACGATATTAACCACGAAAAAAGCGTAAAGTTACGTAAATTCAGTTACACGTTCTAGACAGACCCCACACCCCAAGATATATCTCAGAGAAATCTTCAGTTTTGATCAAGCGCCTTCCTTATCACTCTAACACGCCTCCGAACGCTGGACTCCAACATACGGGGATGTAGTATCACCCCATGGGCGGGAACCGCGAGTCCATAGTCAAGTCTGTCAGTTCTGAATGGACGAACCGTACAGCTGAACTTCACCTCTTCTAGAGCCATTCATTCTTGGTGGTGAGTTGAATGCACGATTACCTTAGCCTAACAGCATAATTAAGCTCAAAGTCAGGTGGTACTTTCATACCATTTCCATTCTCCGATTCTACCTTGGAATCAATAAGATTTGTTATTTATATTTACATTGTGACTCTGTAGGGTAACGTTACTGTAATTACTTGGAGTAACACTCCCGGAGGCCACACCCTAGTTTTACAGCTGCTCGGTGTCTTTTACCCTACATTTTCTACATCTTTATGCTATGCGGTGAAACGACATGCTGGCTATTTTCCGAATGCATGCTAACGTTACTTAAATTACACATCCAAGCAGCCATTAAGGATCCTTTCTGGCTTTTCAACATTTAGCTAACGGGAAGCAGCTAGATAGCCTCCAACCTTTCAGAACCTTCAGAAACACTTCACTGTGGTTTGGTAGATAGCCGTTAGCTAGGTTAGCTAGCTACTGTAGCAACTGTCTGAACTCAATAACGTTACAAACCCATTTCATACACATTTTACACAGATTAAACAACCTGTTTACACCCTGGTGGTACTTACAATTAAATACTCGCATAGTTGATGTAGTTAGCTATGATTACAGCATAAAAATGCTAGGTTAGCTAGCAAACCCTAAACCTTATCTAGAGCCTTTGATAAAGATCTCTATCAAAGGCTTTGACTAAGGCTAGGCTGGCCAACTGGCAATGCTAGCAGGCCTGTTAAGACAAATACGCGTTCGACAAAGAAGCACATACACACCGATTAATAAAAATACCAACCTCAGACATGATTTCGGTGTGTTTTGTGTGTAAAGCCCAGCCCGTAGACCCACAGCTACCGCTCACAGCAACTCTCCAGCACCCGCAGCCCCTTCTGCAGGCAGTCACATGTGTGCATGCCTCAGAGGGTCACCCAGGCCACGCCTCCTTAATCTTATTGGCTTTTTCAGCATGTAGTGAGGAAAATGAACCAATCAGGTTTGTGATGCTGGACAATGAGTTACCCTCAGAGATGTGTGGCGTTAGCTCATCGTGGTTTGGACGTGTGCTAACTGGGGCACAGGGCGAAGACATACAGAGCACGGAGCGCTGCCAGGGTCACCAAGTTGAATGTATTTGGTTACATTAAACTCATATAGTATATTACAACACTGCTAATTGTTCTCTTGACAAAGTGAAACGTTATACTTCACTGAAACAAGCCATTTCTATTCTTTACCTATCCAGAAATTAACATGTAAATCTAAACAGATATGAAATTGTGAATTTAGCGGATTTCATGTAATAAGCAGTTTCTGGTGAGATAGAAGATGACCTGGAGGTAGGTTAGAACAGGTTCTCAACCTTGCCCCTGGAGGCCCCCAGTCCTGCGCATTTTCTTTCTACTCCTGCACACGGGATTGAGCTGAAGGGTTAGAGGGCAATTCCACAGATTTTGCAAAATGTCTGCATAGTGAGAAAACTAATAGAGAAACCTAACGTGTCAGACTTATTTACAACAGTGATGATTGGAATTAGACATCTGAAGCGTTTAAGGGCTAATATGTACAAATTAAATAATAAAGTAATAAAGTAAGTCATTCAGCGTGTTTTGATCTGAAACGTTCCTTTCTAGAAACACTGACCTAGTCAGAATTATTCACAGTGGTGCCGATAGGATCCAGACCTCTGAAGTGTTTAATCCCCCAAGACCTTTCTCACACGAAGTTATTAAATGAAATGGTTATCAATACACTGTCTGATATCGGAGAGATATCATATATGTGAGGTAAGGTTTGGGTCTAAAACCTGTTTTTTTAAAAATCATGGAAATCCATTCAGGGTGTTGTAAGTTAAAATAGTCCCCAATCGAGCCATTGCCGTTTTAAAATTGCGCTGTTTTTAAACTGCAATTAATCGATTGATTTACTTTGGACTTGGAACCATGTTTATCTTCATGGAGCCTTAGGAAATGCAAAGTGTGACCATCTCTATGGTGAGGTTGAGCAAGATTCGTTTTATCAAAGCTCTCTTCAGTCACGAATCATTTTTGGGCTTCCTTTATATAAAGAAGAATGAGCCCTTATAATTAAAGCAATACATTGAATCTAAACCCAAATCTGTGTTTATTATATTTTCCTTTTAAACGAACTGTTTTCGTTTTATTCTCTTTGCAAGAGTTTGAGGCTTTAGAATCGATTATGCCGCTGTGCTGTTGCTTTGGGCTGCAGCATTAGTTTTCTCATAAGTGCGACTACTCTAGACTGAAATTACATAAACTAAAAGCGGAGCATGTTTCTACACGATTTCGGAATTTTTAAAGCAAGTTAGCACAAAACCCGTAACCACGTCAATATATATGGTCTTATGAACTAAGTGCCTAGTGTAGAAGCTAGCTAGTAACTAGTTTATATACATAATAAACCCACAGGGAGAGTGAACGTTAGCCGGCAGCAGTTAGCTTGATAGCTAACTTGTTTCTTGTTTCAGTAGACATGTCCTCAGAAGCTGTTCTTACTGTACGCCTCGTTCGCTCCTTTGAGCATCGCAACTTCAAACCTGTGGTGCTCCGAGGTGTAAATTTAGACCAGAAGGTGGAGGACTTCATAGCTTTTGTTAAGAACGGTAATATATTGTTCAGTGGCTATATAACCTAGCTGATTTTGGACAGTTCTCAATGCTATGGTAATATACAGTAACCTAAGTGTTTCTCATATCTGTGTTGATTGTTTAATTTAAGATACTCTTGTCAACTTTTAGATGTTTCTACAAGATCTGGTTTGCCCCCACCTTTCAAGAAATTTGACTATGGTAAGTAAAATCTGTACTTAGTGATGTAATGCATGTTAATTTAAGGTGACCAGATTTCTGAAAAGAAATGTTTAAATCTGTGAAATAAAAAGGGGACAGTTCCAGTTTCGTGTATTTTCACCGTAGTAACTGTTGTACTGTAATAAACTTTGGTGACAGCTGACTGATTGGGTACTAACTACTTTGTAAACCGTGTAAGAATATCATACAAGAGCCCACAATATGCCATATGGCATATAGTAATGACAAAAAGTAACACAGTTTTAAAAAATGATGCACTAATTGTAGATCGCATGGCAGCCTACATTCAAGTAGATTGTAAGCCTATACAAATCAGCCTTCCTCTATCACCCGGTAGTATGATTTGGTTCCATAACACCACACCTGCCTTAATCCCAGGGTTACCTTGTGTCTTGAAAAGACATAATAAAATACACATTTTTTTCAGAAAATAATGTAAGTTATTAATAATAATAATGGACATAAGACCAGTGTCAGAAATGGTCCCCTAATCACTGTACCCTACATTTGAAAATCTGGATCACTATATAGTACACTGTTATAGGGAACAGAATTTGTGATGGTAGTAAACGAATTCGGACACTCATGTTATACAGGTTTGCTCATTACGTACAAATAATGCAGTGCATTATGGGTATCCCCTGTCTGCTAGGGTACATTAGTTGTACCAGAGACGGTTTAAGGAGAGGCTGGCCTCTTCCTATTTCCCCCGTTGTTTAAAAAAACATGACTGCAAAACGCCAGAGGGCGCCTGCGATAGAGTCCTCAGTGAATGGGGTTAAATGGAGCTAAATGACTAAAATCGAAAAGTTAAAATATTTTTTAATCACTTGCCCAGAACTTTCCTTTAATTTTAGAAAGTAGAAGGATGTATTTCACTAAAAAAAACAAAAAAAAAAAACAAAGAAAATTTACCTGTATGTTTCCTTTTTATCTACAGCAATCAGTTTGGGGCAGCAGGACACTAACATTACTGCTATGAGTGCTGACTGGTTGGCGAGTGGAGCAGCTCATTTGCTGTTCGCGCTCACAGATGTTATGAACGTACATGAGGCGTTGTTTTAAACTCCTATAATTTTAGTTGAAAAGCACTAAAAATGTAAGAGCACTGTTAAAATGTTTTATGCTGTTCCGTGTTCAGGAAATGAATATATTTTTTTTTATATTAAAAATGTTTAAGCATTCATAAACTATAATTTTACTCAAATGCTCCATATTAACCCATTCATTTTAGACCTGCTCGGGAGCGCCCATTAGCGTTTGAGAAACTCGGAAGACGTTACAAAATGGTAATTCTCCTCATTACAAGTTTTCTGGTTGTGCACTACTTATTGTGGTGCATTGTGGGATTGTTTAAGTGTCCTGGGCCTTCTGCACTATGTGTGCGGACACCACTACAAAATGGCGGAACCCCAAAATAGTGTGCTGTATGTGGCACAGTTTTGGACACAGCTAAGTATTCCGCCGAGAAATGTAGTTCCTTTAGAGTATGGTATCGTTGCCAAGCAACCATTGAGTACAAAAGTGTTCGGTTGCTCATTATTATATATTGCGTTCATTTCATGAACCTTTTCACTTTTTGTTGTATAATAATGAACATATCATAACATAGCGCTTCACTTTATAAGTACTTTTTGGTCACCAAATTACCACCACAAGTCTTATATAGCACCAATCCAGCAGTCCCCCTCTGCCCACGCTGGGGCTGAATCACAAATAACTCCCTGCTCCCTACATAATGCACTACGTAGGAATTTAAACACTGGCCCCTGCATGGGACCGGAACTATCCGTTTTATAAGTGGTCAGTAGACAGTAGAAGCCAGCCCTCTGCTGGCCAGAACAGGCACACAGAGAAACTTCTGCTCATCTGCCAGGTCTTTCTTAGGACTTTGTTTTGTGTTTTTAATTTACAGTTAAAAACGGACATTTCCGTTGATGGGGACGTCTGGTCACCTTATGTTAACTGTTTGACAGTAGTGTACAGGAATGACAGGCCCTTCTGATTTTCATGTAAACAGACACGATGAAGATCATCCATCAGGCACATGGAGCAAAGGTATGGTTTTGTCCACTGTTTGGCAGTGTTATATTTTACATTAAAATACAACACTATTAACAACTATTTAAGAAACATAATTTATTGCAATGCACAATTTTTTAAATTGTTTTTTTCAGTAGTCAGTGTGTGAAAAATAAATTTCCCCTTGTATAATTAATAGCTAGACTAGATGTAAATTGTTGTGCTTAACTGCATTAAAGTCATTAAAATGGGCAAAATAATAAAAATAAATAAATATATTGTTTTTGATTTCAGACTAATGAACTGGTGATGAGTCTAGAGGATGATGAAAAGCTGATTCTGCACAATGGCCTCGATTTACGGTCATGTGGCATAGGTAATAACCCTGGATATCATTTGTAATGTGTATAAAACATAATTAAAATCTAAAAATAAACCACTTAATGACAGAGACACCACTATTTTTTTGCATTATATCATGGATATGTTATGTCACAATGTGCCTTATCACAGTATACTGGTACCGATGTATCACCCAGCACTATATCACGGTGTGCAAAGATGTCAGAAGGACCACAGTGACCATAATTGTTTGTGTGTCACACTGCATGGTGTATATTTGCAATATACAGCCTCATAATTTGAATGTAAGCCAACACTTTTTTTTTCTGGAATGCGAAGAGATCTCTTTCAGTGTTTCTTGGTCTGCCTACACTGTGCGATGTTCATCTTGGTTGGAAACACCTGATTCAGATCAAGAAAGATTAAGACAATAATATGACTCAGATGCAGGGAAAACAACATGACATGCCTGTGGGCCTACAGGACTAAAACTAGGAAACAGTACAATAAACAATACAAAGGAAACAACAACATGAAGTGTCTCAGTAGGGTGTTGGCCCACTATAAGCTGCCAGAACGGCTTCAACGCACATTGGCATAGATTCTACAAGTCTCTGGAACTGTACTGGAGGGATGGAACACTATTCTTCCAAAGATATTTCCTCATGTGGTGTTTTGATGATGGTAGTGGAGACCACTGTCTAACACGTCAGTCCATAGGTGTTTAATTGCAATTACACAGCACTAACCAAGCATTGAGCCCTGTACCATTCTCTTGGTGTATGCCACACATGCATTTGCCCACTTGTGGAGAATAAGGATGACTCATCTGATCGTATCATTTTTCCACGTATATGTAGTGCCTGTGGTTTTTACACCACCGAACTCTTAAATACTGCTCAACGTTTTTAATACACGCCACGGAGTATGGTAGGATGTTAACTGCTGGAAACAACTGCACTTGTTATGTTTCTCCACTCATTTGTTTTTCCTTTAATTTGTAACCTGTCTGTAGGTTACAGTTGTAACTGTATTTGCTGTATCAAACAGGCAAGAATAAACCAAGCTGAATTGTGTCTTCTCTCCTTCCAGCCAATGAGACGGAGCTGGCCTTCTTCAAAATGGCTGACTATGAAAAGTACAAGGCCAATCCCCAGACTGTGTGGTGAGACCTACGAAAGATACCATGCTGCGTGAGAGAATCCTGCCATTTTAATTTACAAGAAGTGGGGAGGCATCGGAGAGCCGTAATTCCAGTTTTTACTAAAAACCTCCCATCTTGCAGATCTTCAAGTATCAACCATGCCTGAAATGGTGTTTTAGTTTCACTTTTTTGTTTTAAATCAGTTAACAGGCTGGATCATGGTCCAAACATTAAGAAATATTCAGTAGAGGAAAAAATGCTGTTAAAACATGGACAGTGGACAGTTTAACTGAAAGAAATGTTTGAGTTGAGAAATGAGTTGTTTACCAGCATGACAAGTTCTTACTATACTGCTTCCACACCATCTGTTTTATTTTAATTAACTAAGAGGTGCCTGTTGCTGAGATTGTGTTTATATATTTAATAAACTTTCATTTGAAATTTGCTCTTCAATGTCATTAAAGTATGTTTTGCACAGAGTTGAACTCCAGAAATGCCCTTCGGGGAGTTGGAGACTCATAGACCCATTAATGGAATAGACTTTTATATGAGGTCTCACAGGTCTCACATCTGAAGATTACAGTAATTTACAGTAATCATGAGGCAACCAAGAAAAGAAAAAAATAGCCAAGTGTGCAAGAATGTCAATTTTAATTACAATATTCTTCCTTACATAGTAAAAAACACATTTCCCATGATCTGAATCTGAGCGCTTTAAAACTTGAAACACCTAATGATCATCAGTTGTCTAATATACATTAATTGTCTCCAATGACTGCTAAGCTTTTGTGGTCTGTGATAACAGGAATAGCAGGACAGGAGCAGTGCATCCTCTGTGGTAACAAAGTCATGAAGCTCGGTCACACTGCAAACATTAATTAGCTATTTGTAAAGAGTAATAAGCTGGTTTTAAAAAATGCCAGAGAGTATATAATGTACAAAATGTTCTATTTTACTTTGTTTTACTTTACATACTTTGTGTACTTCACATACACATTTTTTTAAAAGATCAAGAGTAAGCACTTGCATATCCATAGGCAAATAAGTAACAAACATACAAAGAGCTTTTGCTAAAAAATATCTATGTATTTTTATTATTATTTATTTATTTTACATTTTTGAGTAGCAACATGTCTGTGACAACTGGAGTGAGTAAAAAGTACAGGTAGTGCAGCTTACAGTGATTAGTGGAATAAACTCTCTCCATTAATACTGAACAAAATGGCAAGCAACGATAAAATACTGTCAGGATGCATTTGCTGCCCAGAGCACTTCTGTGGCATGTAGATGTTCTAAATTACTCATTCCCTATTGATTAAGGAATGTTCAGCATGTTGGTCAGATGTTACATGATTTAAGCTTTTCAACTGGATTAAACTTGAATGAAAGCTTGGATTCAGTAATATGATCCTGTCCAAAAAGCAAAGTCTTATCAAATAACTTCTTAAAATGCTGGTGCCTGGAGTCACATGTATCACACAGCCTCTGATAAGATGGCTGATTAGAATCTTTTTTTTTAAATACTCTGTTTTGATATACTATATACATAAGTGTGCACATATGAAGACTTTTAGTCAGTGACAGTCTGTAAATGCATGAGGTAAATTTTATAATTCAGAAAGCACCGATGGTGAAAACACAGCAGCAGCTCAGATCTGTGTCCTGTGATCATTATGGAGTGTACCAAATGGACAAGCGTTAAGCAGTCCTGGAGTCAACTACAATGTCAATGGTAATTAATCTTAAAAATCCCATTTAGTCCAGAATTAGGTTTAACCTGGTTCTACAATTGACCCATAGTGTAAAAAAGCCAGTTTTGCATTGAGAAAACTGCTGCTAGTACATTGGGAATAAAAATCACAAGCATCCTGACTCAGATAATGGATTATGTAACTGATCCTATCTTAAAGTCCAGCATCACGTCATTAAGCAATAATTTGGTTGAAGTAACCTGAGCTAGGCTTGTTTGGGGCCAAGACCAGAGGTGTCTTTGTCTTAAAATGACTAAACTTCTTAACTGCTCTTCTGTTATATTTGCATGTTTTACAGCACCACATTTTTTGCAACTGTCAGAAACGTGACAAAACTCAGCAAGCTCTTATGAATATTTCTTTTTCCACTTAAGCATTTCCTTTAAGTGATTTTACGTAGCTCACTTAAGATACTGAGATGTTTAAGTCAAAATTCGCTATTATGTTTTCTGTAAGCGGTCTCAACTGTACACAAACGTTCCCGCACAGCTTCAATATAACCATTACTATGAGCTCTTTCTGCAATAAAGGTAACTGTAACAGTTTACAGAATGTAGGTGCAGTTCAGCCCTGGTGTTGACAGAGCTGTCCGAGGTTCTTAGGAAACACTGCTAAAAGGCTACTTGCTATGAAATGTTTACTGCATGTGTGCAGGCCAACAAAGGCACGATGTTTAAGTGCATCATGACAGGAACTGGTGGCTTGCTAGTTCAAATACAGTGAAGAGCACTACAGATGTTGACAGTACTTAAGGTTTGCAGTCTACTTTTTCCTTCTCTAACCACTGCAACTGTGTGCTTGAGAAAGGCATTCGCTGCCACTGCTAAATACTGCTAGGTATTTAAAATTCAATGTTCTTGTGGTACCAACCAAATTACCTTTAATATTATTTTCAAGTAGTCAATCTTGGCAGTGTCAGTGAGCCAATAAGCATGCTTATTACAAAGTCTAGGCTGGTGACTGGCTGATAAGCATGTTATTATCACCAGCAGTCTGTTAAAAAAGTACAAATAGCAGCAGTGTCTCCGAACACTCTCAGCACGCAGTCTTCAAAATCCTGATTGTCACTGTAAGACACTGTAACTGGAGCTTTTGGAATAGATTTTAAGTAACCTATTAAAAAAAGGAAAACAAAAAGAGTACGCATGTCATGTAATTTTCTTTTTGTAATACTATATAAATAGAGAAATGCAATGTTTAATATATGTTTTTTGTTCATAAAAGAAGTTCTTGAAAAAAAATACTGGTCAAGTATCAGTGTTAAAAAATTCTGAATAATACCTAACCCTACCCCTAAACTCATACACCCAGTATGCTGGTGTTTAAAAGAGCAAGACTGCTCAATAGCCCTTGTGTGACAAACTAAAAACACAACTTGAGTTACAAAATCCTATGGATCTTAACACTAAGCTTTGGAAATAGGAGTGATACTGTCCTTATATAAAGGATGTATTCATACCCAGTGACAAACATGGATTACACTGGCTCAGGAAAGCTCCCTCAGTCTGACCTGACCTGCTTTCTTACACTTCTGGACATGTACTGTTGGCCACCACATGGTGGTGCTGCGAGACGGGGCACTTGCGTGTGCTCTCCCAGCCCCGTCGTATGCGTGCCAGCCTGCCAGAGATACACGGCAGCAGCAGGAAACAGCGGCACACCAGCACGGCACACGGCAGAGCTACAGCTAGCATGTAGCTGGGCGGCATGTAGAAGACATATGCCTGGGCAGAGAAGGCAAAGTTCCAGCCAAACACCAGTGTATGCGTGACAGAGAGCGTCAGAGCAACATAACCCAGTCCAGACTGAAGGAAGAGAACAGGAGGAAGTATTGTGAGATTTCAAGCACTGGCATGATTGGTTCCATTACACATACAGTTATTTTGCCTTGTGGTTTCCAGGCCTGGTTGTAGAGCCCTGCATATTTTCATGTTATACCTTCATTTGTGTTTGTATATGTATGTATATATATATATATATATATATATATATATATATATATATATATATATATATATAAAACGTTTAATGAAATGATAAACCTACCATATACTATATATACACTAGTATACATGTGGCAGCTTCTCTAGGCAAAAACTGTGCTGAATGTTTCATATCTGACTTTTTTTTTATATTTGTCTAATGCATGCAATTTGATAACTATTAAGTCATTCATGCAGTCATGTAGAGAGACTGGCTGTTCTTAAGCACATTTACCATGCACTTTCCCATTTTACTGAAGCTTAACAAACATTTCAGACTCTATTCTGCTGAACGAGCCAATTCAGCTAAATAGGGTGACCTTAGTGTGTTTTGTGCTGTACACTCACCAAGCACTTTATCAGGAGCACTATACTAATACAGGAAAGGGCCTCCCTTTACTCTCAAAACAGCCTTAATTTCTCATGCCATGGAGTCCACAAGATGCTAGAAACATTCCTTTAAGATTCTGGTCCATGTTGGTATGATTGCATCATGCAATTCCTGCAGATTTTTCAGGTGTACTCATGCAGCAAATCTCCTGTTCCACCACGTCCCAATGGAGTTCGACTGTATTTAGATCTGGTGACTTGGAAGGCCACTGAAGAACAATGAACCAGTTTGAGATTACTTTTGCTTTGTTATATTATCACGCTGGAAGTAGCCAATATAAGATAAATTGTGGCCATAAAGGTGTGTTCATGGTCAGCAACAATACTCAAATAGGCTGTGGCATTCAAGTGATGATTGATTGATATTAACCGGCCCAAGGTGTGTCAAGAAAACATTCCCCACACCACTACACCACCTCCGCCAACCTGGACTGTTGACACAAGGCAGGATGGGTCTATGGATTCATGCTGTTGGTGCCAAATTCTGACCAACTGTGTGCCTCAGCAAAAACTGAGATTCATCAGACCTGGCTATGTTTTTCCAGTCTTCAACTGTCGAGTTTTGGTGAGCCTGTGTCCACTGCAGCCTCTGTTCTCTGGTCTTGGCTGACAGAAGTGGAACTCGATGTGATCTTCTGCCGCTGTAGCCCATCCGCCTCAAGGTTTGATGTGTTGTACATTCTGAGATGCTTTTGTGCTCACCACAATTGTATAGAGTGGTTATCTGAGTTAATGTAGCCTTTCTTTCAGCTCAAACCATTCTGGCCATTCTTCAGTGACCTCTCTTATCAACAAGGTGTTTCTGTCTACAGAACTGCCGCTTGCTGGATGTTTTTTATTTATTGCACCATTCTGAGTAAACTCTAGAGACGGTTGTGCCTGAAAATCCCAGATCAGCAGCAAATACTCAATCCAGCCCGTCTGGCTTCAACAATCATGCCACAGTCAAATTCACTGGAATACATTTTTGTTTTCCCATTCTGATGGTTGATGAGAACATTAAAGCTGGTAGCCAGTATTTGCATAACTTTATGCACTGCACTGCAGCACAACTGGCTAATGAGATAATTGCATGAATGTGTAGGATTACAGGTGTTCCTAATAAAGTGCTCAGTGAGTGTATGTAAACTGGATTATCTGTGTTTATTTGTGGCATAGTGGTATAAAGGTTATGAAAAATCTGATACCTTTAGAAGAATTTCAACCAACCAGTTCATCCCTCTACTACTACTACTCAGCTTATTAAAATTGAAATAGATGCGTCAGAACAAGAACACACAACCTTGTTTCCAAAAAAGTTGGGACGCTGTGCAAAATGTAAATAAAAACAGAATGAAATTATGTGCAAATCATTTAAATCCTATATTTAATTGAAAATAGTACAGACAACATATCAAATGTTGAAACTGATAAATATCTTTTGAATTTGATGCCAACAACACGTTTCAACAAAGTTTGAATAGGGGCAAAAAAACATCTCACAACTAATTAGGTTAATTGGCAACAGGTCAGTAACATGACTGGGTATTAAAAGAACAACCCAGAGAGGGTTCAAGTCTTTTAGAAGATGAGGAGGGGTTCACCACTCTGTGAAAGACTGCATGGGTAAAAAGTACAGCAATTCAAGAATAACACTGCTCAACATAAAATAGCAAAGAACTTGGGGGATTTCTTTATTTACAGTACATAATATCATTAAAAGATTCTGAGAATCTGGAGAAATACTGGCTGGCCATGATCTTTGGGCCCTCAGACGGACATGATTCTGTAGTGGAAATCACTGCATGGGCTCAGGAACATTTCTGAAAACTGCTGTCTGTGAACACAGCTCAACAATGCATCCACAAATGCAAGTTAAAATTCTACCATAAAAAGAAGAAACCATATGTAAACAGGATCCAGAAAAAATGCTTCCCTCTCTGGGCAGAAGCACACGGCATGGGTGACTCGGACATCTGTGAAGGTATTATTAATACTGAATGATACACCGATCAGGCATAACATTATGACCACCTCCTTGTTTCTACGCTCATTGTCCATTTTATCAGCTCCACTTATACAGGTACACTTTGTAGTTCTACAATTACAGACTGTAATCCAACTGTTTCTGTTTCTGCATACTTTGTTAGCCCTTTTTACCCTGTTCTTCAGTGGTCAGGAGCAGGTACTGTTTGGGTGGTGGATCATTCTCACCACTGCAGTAACCCTGACGTGGTGGTGGTGTGTTAGTGTGCGTCGTGCTGGTACGAGTGGATCAGACACAGCAGTGCTGCTGGAGTTTTTAAACACTGTGTCCACTCACTGTCCACTCTATTAGACGTTGTTGGTCCACCCTGTAGATGTAAAGCCAGAGACGACAGCTCATCTCTTGCTGTACAGTACGAGCTAATCATCCTCTAGTCCTTCATTGGTGGTCACAGGACACTGCCCACAGGACGCTGTTGGCTGGATATTTTCGGTTGGTGGACTATTCTCAGTCCAGCAGTGACACTGTGGTGTTTAAAAACTCCAGCAGCACTGCTGTGTCTGATCCACTCGTACCAGCACAACACACCACCACCACGTTAGTGTTACTTCAGCGCTGAGAATGATCCACCACCCAAATAGTACCTGCTCTGTGAGGCTCCATGGGGGTCCTGACCACTGAAGAACAGGGTAAAAGGGGGCTAACAAAGTATGCAGAGAAACAGATGGACTACAGTCTGTAATTGTAGAACTACAAAGTGCACCTATATAGTAAGTGGAGCTGATAAAATGGACAATGAGCGTAGAAACAAGGACATAATATTATGCCTGATCGGTGTATATACAGGTTTTAGAGCAACACATGCTGTCATTCAGATGGTGTTTTTTCAGGGAAGGTCTTGCTTATTTCAGCAAGACATTTTCAAACCACATTCTGAACATATTACAACAGTATGGCTCTATAGTAAAACAGTCCAGGTACTAAACTGTCACCCATTAAAAAATGAAATTCGAAAACTTTCAAAACTACAGCAATTGGTCTTCTCAGTTCCCAACCGCTTACAGAGTGTGGTTAAAAAACAGAGGTGATGCAACACAGTGGTAAACATGCTCCTGTCCCAACTTTTTTTTAAACTTTTTTGTGTTGCTGGCATCACATTCAAAATGGGCGTACATTAAAAAAAACACTCAAATTTCTCAGTTTCAACATGTGTCGTCTTTGTACTGTTTTCAATAAAATATATGGATTTGCACACCATTGCATTTTTTTATTTACATTTTGTACAGCATCGCAACTTTTTTGGAAACAGGGTTGTAATTGTGCAGGTCAGGTGTGCTCCAGGACCAGGGCTGAGGACAACTGCCTTAAATAACTTTGTGCTGCTCACCTGAACAAAGGTGAATTCTCTCCAGGTAAGGATGTTCCCCACTGCAGGGAGAGAAGTGATAGCTAACAGGGAGAGGACGCCCAGACCCAGCACTCCAAATGACAGGTAGAGGTCAGAGCGCCACACACCTAACTCATCCCACGGTTCCTCTACACCTGCCTTCACCTGAGACATTAACACAAAAATATCAAAACTCAAACCACATGACTAGAGCCATCAAGTAAATTTAAGTCTTGTATAGTACCTGCATGCAAAAGAAAAGTGATACACTTTGTTACAAAGGTGTAATCATGTTTTTTAAGATAGAATTGTTTTAGATAGAATTGCTAAAAAGCAGTACCTGTGCATATGCAGCATTGATGAGTCTGTACCGTGCGGCAGTGCGCAGGGGGAGGCAGAGGCTGTATACTCCGTGCAGAGCAGCACAGAGGAAACTCAGCAGGCCCAGCTGTTTTCTCCGCAGCAGCCAGCCGTCCAGCCAGCAGGGGAAGCGCTGGTACTTGGTGCCCCTCCACAGCTGCAGCCATGCTGCAAACAGACCTGGCAGATACACCAGTGCCAGGGTGACCAGAGCCACAGCTGGCAGGCTCTCATTCACTAGGTCAAAGGCAAGGCGGTAGAAGGCATTGTGTCCGTTGGCCAGGTATGGGAGCAAGACGCCCCGAATAAACCCATAGCCGTAGAAGAAGAGGAAGAGGAGGAAGGTAGCGAGAACAGGTCCACGCCACGACGGGAAGAGGCGCAGGGGCACACTCTCGAGGTCTTGGGCAAAACACAGGCTGCCTAGATCTACTGGGTGGAAGCCCATGCGGCGGGCGAGTTGGGCCACTTCGTTCTTTCCCTCCACGCTGTCACTGCACAGCAGCACCTACAGCAGGTTAAAGGTCACAGAACAGTCACTGAACTGATTCTATTTTGCTATACTAAGCCCAGAATAGAAAAGCTGACCTCATGGAGTTAATGACATAATATACACAATGTACTTTCACAAACATGGAAACACTGGTGCACCTCTAATAAAAAAAGAATTAACTGAGTATACATTTACATCAAGGGTACATTTAAGTCCCAGTTACCTGTTTTATATCTCTGTCAGCACTGACCTTTAAAGGGCTCATATTCTATTTTTTTGAACCCTCTGCCACCCCGCCCCAGTGCCATAACATTTAATTGTTTTTCTCCATATCCTCTGCTCCAATAATTCTGCTACAGACTGTCTGCAGTAACAACACTCCTTATCACTTCAATGTAAATAAGCAGGCTAAACTGCAGTAGACTGAATTAGCATTTATATGCTAGTTGTGACATCACAACTACAGTAAATTCTGAATTACTTGTCTTTTGCATTGTACTTTCTACATATGGAATGCATAGATTTGGATGTGAATGGTTTGCTTTATTTGAATGTGTGTGTGAATGTGTATGTCTGCCTGTCTGTCTGTCTGCCCTACGATGGACTGGCAACCTCTGCAGGGTGTTTCTTGCCTTTCGCCCAATGACAGCTGGGATAGGCTCCAGCACCCCACCGCGACCCAGAAGGATATGCGGTTTAGATGATGTGTGTGTGTGTGTGTGTGTGTGTGTGTGTGTGGGTGGGTTGCTTTGAAACTTTAACAGTGTTTACACAGTACATCAACCTGTTTTATTTTTAAAAAGTAAGGAAATCAACTGTCCATGATAAACCAGCCAAACTTAGCCAATCTAGGGAATCACTGACCTGTCTGTTGCCATCTTGTGCGCCGGTCTGCAGTGTCCAGGCAGAGATCACATTAAACCCTTTAACCACCACACTCTCTGGGAACATCTCAGCTAGCTGCTCCGCGTTAGACAGCCTGCTTCTGCCCAGCTTCTCGGCATTGCTCACATCTACAAGGACTTTCCCAGCCAGTAAAGCCCTCAGACCCAGCAGAGAGGGGTAGTGCTCAGGGAACAGAGCCAGAAACACCAGCCGATCGGCTCTTGCTACTGCTCCTTCTTGGTTCTTCAGTTCCACTGCATCAGGAAAGAGCCCAGGAGCAATGCGCTTAACACAGCGACTCCCCACCACCACACTGACCCCACACGCCACCAATCGCACAGCCAGAGAACGCGAAAAGTCGCCAGACCCCAGTATGGCCACTGTGGGTCGGCCAGGAGCCATGGGTGGAGGAGCATCAGGGGCTTCCGCATTTGGGAGCAGGGGGACACTCATTTCATCTGACATAGCTACCACTGCTGTGAAGGAGAGAGACGTGTGAAGGGGGACAACTTTAAAATCGAATTTATTCAGCATCTTTAATATTTCTGCCTGAATGCTCTAAAGAACCCATATCCTACATTTTTCTTGTGTTTTATTTTTTCTCTGATAGCCACTTATGACACTTGTCTTGTTTTATGTAGCACAAACAGTCATAACTCATTTTAACATAATCATTTACTAATTCATCTTTATCCTTTAGGATTAAACAAACTATTTTTGTTAATATGTCTTTCAGACTGACATATGTAAAGGATCTCAGTTCTTAATGGCTGCCATGTATCAGCTGCCTTGGGTTGAAACACTCTTTATAACTGCAGCAAGAATAGATGGTGCTAAACCACTGTAAGATGACTATCACTGTTGTCGGAAGAAAACCTTGTATCTCCAAAACGATAACTTTACAGGAGAAGGAAAAAACCTACTTCACTTTTAATGCAAGTCAATGGAACCAGATTTTTTTCCAAGTCATTCCGGATCCTTTGTTTTAGTCCATTCATCATAAAATTTACATACAATGTAAAGGGTAACAAGTATTTTCAAATTATGTCAAAAACTGAAAAACATCAAAAATGGAGATTTTCAAGGTTTTCTTCTGACAACAGCCATATGTGGATGTATGTTTTTCATGACATCACAAAAACAGTGAGTTCCAAAAAAGCTGTTTTTTAGCTTAGTTTTTATATATGGACTGTATAGACAAGAGGATGAATGGTATATTTTAAAACTTTAAAAATATGTGTTTGATCATAATCTTTTATTTCAAAAAAACTGAGGAGAATTCAGTTTTCCATAACATAGACCCTTTAAATATATACTGACACCATTTTGTATAGCCGGCCACTCACAGTGCCTCCTCTAACACATTACACTACAACACAAGAAATCAATAACGAGCAATAATTTGCTCTACAATCAGACTAAAATAAGAGTGGTCATGCATTTGCAAGTATGCATGGCTATACATAACCTCTGGAATGAGACCAGGACATAAAACTGCACTTTGATCCTGTGACACGTCTCACAGGAATCTTTTTTTCTATTTTTTGTCAGTGTCACAGAGGAAAAATCTTAAATCGGACAATATTCTTACCATGGTTCAGCTCGAACATGACATTTTAATATGAGACAGGAGGTTTTGAATAGACACATCCAATGAAATCCAGACTGACAGTAAGTTTCATTTCTCCTCTAATGGGGGAGTGGAAAGTGTAGGGTACTCACTGAGCTGGTCCCATACGCACCAGTGATAAACAAGAGAGAGAACGAGAGACTGAAGTGCAGTCCTCCGTAGTGACAGCCTCCCTAATATGGATATTAACAGTCTAAGTCATTTTTAATAACATTTCACTCACGTCCTGCGCTGCTGGTCGCCGTGCTGCTGCCGCTGCTCCGTTCTTTGCACTGCATGCGTCTGTTTCTGTGTGCAGCCTACTCTCCGCCCCCTCTCGCGCTGTGTGCGCTCGAGATACCGGCCGTGCAGAAAAGCGGACAGTCTACACAACACGCGCTTATCAGATTACTCTGTATTTCTTAAATTACATTAAGGACAAACCCCTATATTGAGAATAATCCTTTAACATCTAGTGGTGAAGTTTAAGTCCAACTCGACTTTGCTGTGGCGTTTCCAGAGGAACAGACAGTACACGGTCAATACTGTAAACAACCTTTTGGGGGCGCACTGCAGCTCTACCGGGCATGAGGGAGGAAAAAACGAGCAGGGACTCATTTGTGAGGGTTAAATGCTACATTATATTCTATTATAATCTCATACAGCTCCGTTTTGCTTCTTAAAGAGGATTCCGTCATGTCGTGGTAGCAAACGGACCGCCGGAGTCCTTGTTCTGTAACGCTCGCGGCATCAGCTGATCGGCTGAGGGGAGGAGGTCATGAACATCTGCAGCTACACGATAACAGGGGATGAGCAGCGAATCGAGAGACTTGCTGAGCAACGAGGCAGTTTCGCCCAGCCCCGAGTCAACACGCGGGGTTAACTGCAAGTCAGTGTGTGTGTCCGCTGTGGCTCTGTTGGTTCTTGGTATCGGGGTGCTGTCCGCTTTGGCCGCCGGACCGCTGCACGCCCAGTGCTCTGTTACGTGGTGGGTAGACTGACCAGCTGGCTTAGGAGTTAAATGCTTCAAAAATATACAGCAGACAAAGTTGAATTGATTTCAGACATGCTAACTTATTGTTTTGCAATAGTTTTGAGATTTTTTAAAGGAAAGTCACCTGCATAGTGTTTCACTATGATTTTGCTTAAATGCTCCATCTTTACCCATTCATTTTGGACTTGCTCGGGAGCGCCCTCTAGCGTTTGAAAAACCCAGAAGACATTAGAGAGTGGTAATTCTCCTCACTACAAGTTCTCTGATGTTATCTCTAGTTTTGTATGTAATGTGCTATCTATCCACAGGAGCATCCACATTCCCTGCTTTGATGTCTCCTCTCTCCTGGTCAACCAGATAAAAGAGTGGACCACAGAGTCCTGTCCTCCTAAGAGCCAGAAGTGCCTGTACTCTGTGAGTATATATGAAGAAGGTGCTGTCAGAATAGAACTGGAACTTTTATTAGTGGTTGTTCTTCAAGGGCCCAACACACTGAAACCATTATGGTCAGATGTGTATCAGTCAAAGCAAATTCTAGGCACTTGACTGATAAAATCATGTTCCATCTCTCTGAGGTAGCTGGTGGCTGTAAATGGTGATGACATCGTTGCCACACACACCACCCCTGTAATGAGGTTTGTGGATGACATCACCTTTAACTTCAGCAGCCCAAATGCAGACAACTGTGAGATCAAGGTGTGTGTAGCTAACAGTAGGAAACCCATTTTTACTCCCCAGGGGAACCATTCTGCAGTATCCACGTCTGCATGTAATTTAAATTATTTTTCTGCCTCTGTTCTTTGCTATTATTTTCTTTACTATTATTACTCTGATTTCGATGCAATTCTCTCTCTGTTTAAAATGCTCTGCAGGGTCACTCTACCTCTCGTAGCTGGTATGCTGTATTAGATTCAGGAACCAACTACCTGAACATGTACAACCTCATGAGAGGTGAGTTCAAAATTAGTGTTCCTTAGTAAAATTCTGAGTAAATGAGTTCTTCATTTAACCAGACATACACAAAAGCAGAAGGACTAGGACATTCAGTTCACACATAGCTACAGCAGCCTTGTTGGGTCAGCAAAGCACCTTGGAGTCTATCTGTCTGTCACAGATCTGTTTCAGATCATCCAACTAATTTTAATATAAGATAAAGACGACATGAGTAGCAACAAAATGCAGCTTTTAAATGATACTTCCATTTATTAAAAATAAACATTTGTTCAAAACCTATATCACCCATGTGAAAAAAGTAATTGCCCCCAAAACCTAATAACTGGTTGTGCCACTCTTGGCAGTAACAGCTGCAACCAAATGTTTGCAATAACTTGTGATGTCTTTTACATCGCTGTGGAGGAATTTTGGCTCACTCTTCTTTGCAGAATTCTTTTAATTTGGCTGCATTGGAGGGTTTTTAAGCATGAACTACCTGTTTATGGTTTTGCCACAGCATCTCAATGGGGTTCAAGTCAGGACTTTCATTTTGTTTGTTTTGAGCCATTCACAGGTGGACTTGCTTGTGTGCTTCAGATCATTGTCCTGCTCCATCACCCAACTGCGCATGAGCTTTAGGTCATTAAACTGATGGGCGACACTCTACTTCAGGATCTTCTAACAGAGAGCAGAAATAATGGTTCCATCAATTATGACAGGTCATCCAGGTCCTGAAGAAGCAAAGTAGCCCCAGCCTTACACTACCACCACCATGTTTGACTGTTGGTTACGATGTTCTTGTAGTGGAATGCAGTTTGAGCTTTATGCCACATTTAACAGGACCTATGTCTTCAAGAAAGTTCCACTAGGCCTTTGTGTTTGACCAGTGTCTTTCTTGTTTTGGAATCAGTTACATTGACCTTAACTGAGGCAAGTGAGGCCTGCAGTTCTGGCCACTCGTGGGAAGGTTCACCACTGTTCCAAGTTTTCTCCATTTGTGGATAATGGCTCTCACTCTGGTTTGCTGGAGTTCCAAATCGTTTGTAACCCTTACCAGACTGGTAGATTTCAATGACTTTGTTTTGCATCTGTATTTGAATCTCTGTAGAACATGGCATCATGTGCTGCTTTTTGAGACCTTCTAGCCTGCTTCACATTGCCAGATAGGTTCTATTAAAGTAATATTTAGATTCAACAGGTCTGGCAGTAGAATTAAACTCAATAGTTAATTGAATTTGGTTAACTGATTGATTTCATAGCTAAGGGGGCATTTACGTTTTTTTATATAGGGTCAGGTACGACTGAACAGCTTTTTTCTTTCAATAAATGAAATCATCATTTGAAAACAGCATTTTGTGTTTACACTGTGTAACATTCAATTATGACAAATTTGCAAAAGTAGAAGAAGGACGAATACTTTTTCATAGCACTATATATATATATATATATATATATATATATATATATATATATATATATATCACTATACTGCTGTTGGAACAAAACCTTATACCTACAAAATGATAACTTTACAAGAGGTGGAAAAAACATACTGTAAGTCAATGAAAAATGTAACCAGACTTTTTTCTAAGTAATTTTGAACCATTTCTTTTGCTAATTAACACACAATGTAAAGGGCAACAGAAATGTTTAAATTATGTCAAAAACTGAAAAACAATACAAGGTTTTGTTCTGACAGCAACAATATATATATATCCTGACCCCACTAATGCTCGTGTCTGAATGCAGTTAAATCCTCCTAGCAATGTTCAAAGGTCTAGTGTAAATCTTTCTCAGAAGAGACTACTACTGGACTAAAGTAGAGGACTCAGAAGAGGCTGTTATTGTTATTGCAAACTTTTTATGCTTCAAAAGTTTGGAATCACTTTGCTATATTAACAATTTTTGTTATTTAATACACAATAAAAACTCATACAGTGTGGATTTAAATATTACAAACCATTCACCAAAATGCATTTTTAGATGTTTTATTCAATATTTCAAGAGTTCTATGAATGTTATTGAATGTTAATTGTTAATTAAAAAGTGTGCAAGATATAATTTTAATTATGGAGATATGTACATACATATTATTTGTGTTGATCCATTTATCATGATATTTGAACACAATGTAAAGAGCAGCTGGTATTTTCAAAGTATGTCAATAAATAAAAAAACACTTGACATAATGTAGACACATACATGGTGACCTGATGAAGCTTGCCTATGCACTCCTTCCAGCACACCTCCTTGGTTCTACACTCTTTGTCCATTTTGTCAGCTCCTCTTACTATACTGGTGCACTTTGTAGTTCCACCACCCAAATAATACCTGCCCTGTGGTATTCCTGGCCATTGAAGAACAGGATGAAAGGGGGTCAATAGAGTATGCAGAAAAACAGATGGACTACTGTGTATAATTGTAAAACTACAAAGGGCACTTTTATGGTAAGTGAAGCTGATAAAATGGACAAAGAGTGTAGAAACAAGGTCGGTGTATTTAATAAAGTGACCGGTCAGTGTCTCCCCTATTCATCTTTGTACTCTTTCTTTCTCTGCAGGCAGTGGACTCTCCTCTTCACCAACTTTCATAGAGTCCACAAGTGATCGTGTTTGTACCCAGTACTCCTCCACCAGACACAAACTGGACTCATGAACAACATTACCCTGTCGCACTAACTACAACTCTGCTTTTAAACCAAACCCTAAATACTATGCCTTACCACAGCCTCTTTAAGACACAGATTTATTTATTAATGACAGTCTAGTTTGTTACATTTCACCTCCCTCCCCTTCTTTACAAAAATTAAGTTGCTTCACGTAGAAAGCAGCTTGTCCAAAAACAATATAGATGAATGGGATCCATAAATGGAAAGCTTTTAAACAGCAGCATAATACCCATTAAAACCGTCACAGAAAACTTTGTAATTTTTTAGCCATCTGAAGTCAATAAATAGTGCAGTTTGATTATTCTGATTAGGCTGTATTATCTTGGATTGTGAAATTGTACTGCATGAGAAGGTGAAAATGATATGGATTTTGAAACACCAGATGTTTGACAGAAGTGAAAGGTCATTAAACAGTGTAAATGGATAGTTTCAGTAAAGGGAGATATCATTTCAATCACATATATATAATTGCAGTAAACATTTTTAGTTGCACATACATATGAAATTGACAGAAATGCTGTATGCATGTTAACTCTGCTACTAAAGCAATACTTTGCTTGCATCTTCAGAAATATATGAGATGCACTGACAGGTAAGTAAACACAGAGTGTAGTCAAATAGGTGCAGGTGGCCAATGAAAACATCATTTGTTTCAACTCAAGTTTGTTTAAGCTCTTCAAGCCCAATAAAGCCTGGGCCTTTTAAACACATTTGTTACTGCAGGTTTTTTTCCACCACTGAGTGATGCACATTAAGTTAATAATTCATTGTTCATCAGTCA